ATTACTTGAAGTTAGAGATTAATACCACTGGATGCCGGTTCAGCGACCTAATGGTTGAGCGTTCGTGAGCGAGACCGATAGGTCTTATGTTCAAAACTCGAGATGCGGGATCGTGGATGCGCACTTCTGAGGAGTCCCACAATAAGACGAAACGGCCGTCCAATGCTTCGAGGTTTTCCATGGTGGTCTAGATTCAATTGACTCATGATCTCAACTATCAAAATTATTATAATATTCACAAAACCTCTTCTGATAATATATATAGAATAAAATAAAGCAGTGTTTACAGTTTATGCTTTATATTTCATAAATTTACATTCAATTCTTAATATTCTGAAAATGTATTATCATCTGATTAAAAGAAGTAACATGCATTTTATGATTTTTTGTTTTAAAAGACAAAAATACATCGGTAACCCTCAATTTGAAGCTTTCCTAAGTAAAATTATGTAAATTATAGTTAATTTTAACAAAACTGATCAATCTCTAGAGCTCCTACAGATTTGAATATAATTCTTATCATGAAATCTCATTTAAAAATAGTTCAGTAAATTAAGAATATACAATCCAGTAGATGATCGATAATGTTTTCTTGGATGTTAAAAAATTTATTATACCATAGAACAATATATTCTCTTACCTTGATTTATGTATTTCATTTTATTCTATAAAATGTCAATTCATCTACTACATACATATTCTTCATTATGAAACAAAAACACATCAATGAATACATTTAAAACAAGAAAGACTATTTTCTGTCAATCTAGTGTAAGATTCTTCAGAAATTTCAACAAATCATATCTTTGAAATAAAAGTGACTGGTTATCACTCATAATAAAATCTAGTTAAAAATAGAAATAAACTGAAAGGTATTGATTCTTAAAATTAATCCGAATAAATTTGTCAGTTCTAAATTGATATAAAACTGTTTTAGAGATTTACCTGAATTATTTAAAAATTATGTGATATATCTTTGAAATCATTCAATATTGCACATAAATATATCTTTATTCCAAGAAGTTTCGGATGATATTGAAGTGCGGTTTACTTGTGACCTTGAAGGGAACCATACTTCATGTGGTATTTAAAACCACATCACCTTCCTTCACACTATGAAAATTTTCCGTTGAGCTATTCAATGACGCGGATTTAGTCCACCAGTTACCATAAGATTACAGGTATTTTTACTGACGAGTACAAAATAGCAGGAAACATAGGTCCAAGGATTCCTGTCAACTATCTTTGACCACCAAATATCTGAAAATGAGGGACACGATGTTGACTAGTAACTACATACCGACTTGATCGATAACATTCAACAGGATCAAAGGAATAGACAAATAGGATATTGGTTACTACTCAGTGATCACTTAGTTGGTCTAACTAACGAAATTTCAAACTTATTAATGAGGAGAATCAATCTCAACAGATTATTTTACTGAATAGGCTAATGGTCCAATAATACAGTTAATAAAGCTCACAAATATAACATTTCAAAATGTATTTTCGCACTCTAGATTTCTAAAGAACCTTAAATTATTATGGATAAAATTTAGAAGAGTTTTATACACAAACAAACATGTAGTGTTGTCAGTCAGCCTACTTAACATGTCAGCTCTCATCGGAATGATATCTTTTATTAATAAAACTATTTATCTCGTTAAGGTATTTAGCTTTATAATGAAGTCATAATCTGAGATCGCCTTATTGAATTCTTAAACTAATTCCTAAAGGGGATAAAATAGATATATGAATGAGTAATGCATCTTGTAAGTGTAAAACATAGTTTTATACAGTATTCAAAACCTAAAGTTAGAATCTTATAGCTTGTTTGATTTCAAACTGTGTTCTATAATCCACAGGACACGAATATTTTCAAAGTCTTCAATCAATAAACTTGGTTACTACATAACTTGTATCTAATGGCAACTGGCTTAATACCTCGTATAAACTTTAATCGTCATGCTACCATAAAGAACTTATGTATACATTGAATGATACTGAATTATATCTTAAATCAGTCTCAGATGTGAGTTGCTTCTGGGTTTTAAGCGTTCTTTAAGCCCTAACGCTTCAGGCTAGGCTATTTTGCTTACTACCCTACATATGTGTTGTATACAGTATAAGCTCTGTGGCTACGTAGAGCTGAAGGTCTCATATGAGGCTGGAGGTTCGCCATTGGTATTGTGGATAGTTCGGCATTGCTTTGGCAAGTTTTGCTGACTGTTCATGCACAAAATTGGTTTTCTGGTTAACCGATTTCGTTCATACTGGTAGCTGCTTTTTAGTGTTCTCAAGGGCCATTGTCATTCGGACGTTATTGCTATTGCTATTGCTAACATTAATGAGTTTGACTGTCATGTAAGCGGAATAGGTCAACTTTGGCCTGTTCGTGCTGTGCATAATTGATTCACGTGATCATTGATCGGAATAACTACATATGTGATGTGAATGTGCATATGAATGATGCGAATGGTCCACCAGGGTGCTTGGTACCTGTGTGATTGCGCCACAAGATTGAGCTGTGCTATTTAGATTGTAGCATTAAAGCCCATACAGTGTCTCGCTTTCCAGTTAAACGGGCTTAGACTGCACTGTTTGGTTGTCAAGTGAAAGTCTGGACGGTGTCTGATTCTCCCGAAAACCATTGTAGAATTACCCTGGCCCACAAGGGTATATTATATAACTAATAATGTAAGTTGCTTAGACCAACTAAGTGATCACTGAGTAGTAACCAATATCCTATTTGTCTATTCCTTTGATCCTGTTGAATGTTATCGATCAAGTCGGTATGTAGTTACTAGTCAACATCGTGTCCCTCATTTTCAGATATTTGGTGGTCAAAGATAGTTGACAGGAATCCTTGGACCTATGTTTCCTGCTATTTTGTACTCGTCAGTAAAAATACCTGTAATCTTATGGTAACTGGTGGACTAAATCCGCGTCATTGAATAGCTCAACGGAAAATTTTCATAGTGTGAAGGAAGGTGATGTGGTTTTAAATACCACATGAAGTATGGTTCCTTTCAAGGTCACACGTACTCCTCACTTACAAATACCAAATACCATGAAACCTTGGTTAAATGTTTTATGTAGACTTCTTCTAACCACTTAACATATTGTATAGATCAATAACTCAATGTTAAAGTGACATATTTTATTGTAAAATTGAGTTTTACCAAATTAAATTTGCTCAAGTGCATAATATGATCACCCATCATCTAATTACATGAAAGTTTATTTCACCAGTTATTTGAAAGAAAACTATTTTATCTGATATAATGAAAACATAAATGTCATGTAGTCAGCTTTGGGTCATAAATTTTGTCCAGCTACGCAGATGATAACAGATAGGGTCGGTTATATAAAGTTTACCACCCAGCATAGAAAACGACATCACCAGTGGAGACAACCAAGTATATTTAAGCACAAAATTACAGGATCTTTTAATAAAATCTGAGAATTATATACTAAATAATTCATTTGAAAAATGTCCATCAATTGTCTCAGGCTTTGTTGTTCCTTCAATTCGATATCAATCACTCTCTGTCTTTGTTCTCTTTACTTTTCTCTTTTCCCAACCTTCTGCCTCCAGGTATTCCACTTTCGATTGGTGATACATATTACTTCTATCTATCGACATCAATAGCACGCACTACATCATTGGTTGAAATCACAGTTTTTCTACTGCGAAACAATCGAATATTAATAATTTCTAATGTGATGTTAATAATTTATTATATTATGGCTCAGTATTTTCTCTCAACTTAATATACATTATGTATATCAATTTGCCGCATAAAATACCAACCCATAAATGTACTTTTTATTACTATCGTATTTTGCGTTATGGAACTTATAAATTTCAATGAACTAATTAAAAGGACACCGCTTTCCTTGTGCATATCTGTGTGTGTTTGGTTTCGTTTTAATACGTAAATATGGAATTTCAAGTCTAATTAAAATCCACTAGTAATGATTGAAATAAGGTAAAGACATGAGTATAGAATAAGAGTATTAGTATTAGTCGTAGTAACAGTAATGACGACAAAAATAATGGCAGTAATCAGGTAGACTTCGGTTAATATTATGAACAGTTAACGCCCTTATTAAAAACAATAAGGTGAGTACAGAAATCTTCAATTAATATCTCATAATCATGTGACTTGTTTACATGTGTTTAACCTGTGAATGAGTGAGTGTGTATACATATGTACTATTTCACTCGTGTAGGAATGTATATGTGCCTATATAGAAATCGTGTAAAACTCAGTATGTATATGTGTGCTAACACATAATTCAATAAAAGGTATCAATAGAAGCACTAAAAGTGTAATAAAATATTGAAATGAGAAAAATCTTCTAATCTAAATCATGTGATTTAGCAATATATGTTATACAAATTATTAAAAAAAAAGTATATGAAAGAAACTAATTGGTTCAGTATTAATGTTCGATATACACATATACAGACATACATGTACTTACAAAATAGATAGACTCATTCATACATGTGTACAAGAATGGAACCTACTGAGAAGTACTTCAGTTTACAAATTTACTTTTGTTTACTAACGTCAACTATTTTTTTGTTTTCTTCTTCAATACACTCAAGTTGAATTCATAAATTATTATTTTCTTCATTAATTTATTTTTCTTGGATAAAAAACTTTGATAAGAAGATCATTTAAATTTTAACACCATTTAATTATTTATTTGATTTAAACAAATTAATTTCCTTGTTTACTTTTGAAGTTTTTGATTTAAAAAAAAAAGTAAATAACAGTTTAATGTTTCCATTTTGGTTAAATATGGAGAATTTGACTTTCAATATTCAATCTATTTCAATATATCGGAAATTGATTAATTATTGATAATTTGGTTAATTATCATCATCATCATCATCAAAGTGAAAACTGAATAAATTTTTTAAAAAAGAAACAATTAAACTCAAGGTCAAAATTCAATTTTAATAATAAAACAAAATCAGGAAAAAAATGTCTATGAATAAATCAAATATATTGGCTTGTATACCAGCGAATAGTAAGTTACAAATTATATCATAACTCTTATCAATAAATATTTGCAAGAATACTATTAATTTTTACGATCACGAAATAACGAACATAGATAGCTTATAGTTGAATTCATGAGTCAATCAAAGGTAGAATAGCATGGAAAACCTGGAAACACTGTACTGCCACTTCGTCCTAGTATAGAACTTCATCCTAGTGACTGGCTTCAATAGATATTTTCATGGAGTTCTAGTGAGAAGCTCTGGCCAGTGGAGTTCAACCGAGTCTGTTTTGAGATAGTAACTCATTGAAGACAATGGTGGATGTGTCGCTCAATTTCGTAAATTAGTTGAAGTTAAACATTAGCACCGTTGGATGTCAGCCGGCTCAGTGGTCTAATGGTTAAGCTTTCGCGCACGAAACCGATAGGTTCTGAATTCGAATCTCACGGGGAGGGGCTGGATCATGGATGAGCACCTCTGAGGAGTCCCACAATAGGACGAAACGTCCGTCATGTGCTTTCAGGATTTCCATGGTGGCCTAGCTTCAACTGACTCATGAATTCAACAATAAAATCACTAAAATCTCCACAAAACCGTATCTAATAATAAACATAGATATGATTGCACACAGTGGTGAACAAATGAGTTTTTCTCTCTGACATTTAGTTAAACTTGAGTTTGATCTAAATCTCTCAAGTGTATGATATTTTCTTAAAGGATAATTGAAATATTTTTCCAGAAAATAATAATAAGTATTATTAATAAGACTAATAGATTGACGGGGTTGAAACAGAGATTCTTATTTATTTATAAATTGGATTAGTATCACTGTAGTGTAATACGTCTGCAGATATCTCGTAGAGCAGTTAATTGTGTCAACTGGAACAGTGAGTAAAATGGAATGAATCAAGGATTCAATAGTTCTTAGGTGGTGTTTTTTTAATCTGCAACTTTGCGATGACATCGATCAATAATAGGTTCGGTTGTTCATGTAAATATTTTATTTCTCTCGTTTCATTTTATTGTTTTGATTAGTCAAGTTTCCATTTTATTCTGTTTTATTAATGAAAATTTGATATGTTGAGAAGTTGAATATTTACGAGTTTATTCACATAATAATGAACAGCTTCCACTTGATGTTTAATACTTAATTGAGTAATGTATGTATACCTTTGAATGATCTTATAGTAGAACAAGGCTATTGTTTAATGCTCCCTAGTTTTAAATGGTGCATAAAATGGGATCAATCTGTAATGAATGTAGCCTATAATTATTTTAAAACAAATTAATATAATAAGGTCTTCCTACTTAGTCTTTTTCTGTGTCTGAATTATTGTGTAAAATATTAATATCGGTAAAAGACTACATACCATAAACTAGATCAATAGTTACACCACTGAATAACTTAAATTTAAGATACAAATAGATCTCAGTCAAGATTCACTTTCTTTTAATGTAAAGAAAGATTGAATCATTAAAATTTGTCATTCATTCAACTAATCAGAACTTAAAACCACATTGAAAAAGAATAATAGGTTGTTAAACTATCAAATTGGATTCTAATTTGTGTATCCTCATCTATTACAACGATCTTGTTAATTTAAAAAAGTCTTTAAGGCGACGTTTTATAAGTTTATATTAAAAGCCTTTAAATATAACAATGTGTATAGAAGTGTCGCTAGAAATGGAGAACAAAATTTTCCTCGTGTCAAGTTATACAAAATTTGCATCAGAAAATGTTATTAAATTTTAACTAGACAACCGAAATCAGATTATACTATACATCAATAAAGTTCAATCCTTGTTAAATAAAAGTCTTAGTTAACAAATACATAAACATCAGAATGAGGATTGTAGTGATTGTAGTGATTTTAATAGTCGACTTCGTGAGTCAATCTAAGCTAGGCCACCACTGGAAACTTAGAGGCACTGTATGGCCGTTTCGTCCTAATAAAAGACTCCTTAACATTGCACATTCACGATCCCGCAAGCAAAACTCACACTCAAGACATTCGGTCTTGCGCGCGATCACCTGAATTCTAGACCACTGAACCGGCATCCAACTGTATTAATGTTTAACTTTAGTCAATCCATGATCTTGCGCAACCCTCCATCCATTGCCTGAGGTGAATAACTGTTGCACATCCGATGTGAATTAGATTTCACAAGCTCACTTGGAACTAATATCGAGAGGTAATTCTCGAACTGGCTTATGAATTCAACTATTTAAATCCGTTAATGGTTTGCGAAACACATAAGAAGCTTATAATTTCAAAAACATTTTGCAATGTATAACTTAACTGTTCTGAATATGAGGAATAAAAATCGTTATCAATAACTCCCTATTATCTAAACAATTAATTCTCCTATTCAATACTAGATTTCAAAACAATTTAATTTATTGATTCGTAATTGAATATAATATACTAAATTAGGAAGGTCAAAAAACAATACATATTCTAGTGTTCAATAATTAATTCAATTCAATTTTGTTTAATGGAAGAGTATTGTTTTATTTTAGTTACTATGTCCATGATCTTTTTATACTACTCCATTAGTAAAGAAAAAAAATTCAGATGATTTAAGAAATGAAGAGAGAAAGTTTAGTACATAATAAACCATGAATTGAGCATGTTTTAAACTTTTTTTTAGTATGAGTGTTTTCTTAAGAAAGATACGTAGTTTTTTGATAATTTTGAACAATTATGATTTAAAATAAACAAGATGTTGTTAGGTTAAATACTACTTAAAACATGTGGTCGATATTCATAATTTTACAGCAAACAAGTTGATAAGGTATCTAAAGATAATATCCAACAACCTACATAAATTGGTAATTAATCTTTTTTGACTGTGTAAACAGTGGAATAGATGTTTTTTACGATGAATCAACATTCTAAATAAACTAATTTAATCCAGTATTCATATTATTTACTCACTTACTTACGCCTGTCACCCCTTATGGAGAAGCATGGACCAATCACCGGAATTCTTCATCCAACCATGTCCTGGACAATCCTTTCCACGTGTTTCCAGGTGTTATTCATTCTTTTCATGTCTGCTTCCAATTCTCAGTTTAGTGTGTTTGTTAGTCTTCCTCTTTTTCGTTCCCCTTCAGGATCCCAAGTTAGTGCTTGTTTCATGATACAGTTTCGTGACTTCCGTAATGTATGTTTTATCCACTTCCACCATCTTTTCCTAAGTTGGTTTATTCTCTTCCACAGTAGGCTTTTGCTGATGGTATCCGGACAACAAATATTAAGCGTCTTGCGTAGGCAATTAATAATTGTATATTTAGTTACCTGATAAAAATACATACTGTATATCTCAAGTCTTTGCATCATACTGAGTGATTTTTTTCATCCTATCTATTATTCTTCAGAATGCTATGTAAACATTATGTAATTAATGCAATTTGTGTTAGTTTCATTATTTAAAACAATGCAAGGATTGGACCGACAGTAGAGCTTGATCTTACTTACTTTCGCCTGTTACACCTCGTGAAGGAGCATAGGCCGCTCACCAGCATTCTCCATCCAACCCTGTTCCAACCAATCCTTTCCAGCTCTTTCCAGTTCTTATTCATCCCTTTCATATCCGCTCCTATTTCCCGACGTAATGTGTTCTTTGGCCTTTCTCTTTTCCTCTTCCCTTCAGGATTCTAAGTTAGCGCTTGCCTCGTGATGCAGTTTGATGATTTCCTCAATGTATGTCCTATCTATTTCCATCGTCTTTTCTTAATTTCCTCTTCCACTGGAAGCTGGTTGGTTCTCTCCTACAAAAGGCTTGATTAAAAGCTTGATCGCTAAAGATACATACTTAATAGTGTAAAAATTTATTTCATTATGTTTTCCGAAACTTTACAATCCAACTGCAATTCAATGAAAAATGTTCTAATATGAATTTTGTAACAAAAAGATTTGTTATATGCAGTTATTTGTGATCGATACTAATAGATACTTATAATTACTTAGAAAAATTCTAATTCAAAAAAACTCCAAGAACTCCCTTTTAGTTACTAAGTGGTTTTAAAAAAATAGATTCTTAGAAAAATCTGAAGACCAACTTACGAAGTGTATTCAGTATTTTAGAATCTTTTATAAGAAAATTATAATGCCCAAAAACTCCTTTTAAATCTACAAATAATTTTTATTGTCTATACATGAACTAGTCATGGAATACATCTTTTTATATATTGTAGTTGTTTTGTGTTTCTGTTCAAGACTATTCAATGAATATAGGAATCAAAGTGAGCAAACACAAAGAATTGTTCTGGAATTCTTTGTATGTAATGAGGGAGTCTTAGAGTGAATTAAAAGTTTATTTTTTTAAGAATTCTGTGCCACCTAACTTGTCAAGGTTATACAAAATTACAAAAACTTTTTGTTAGCATTGAAATTATTTTTTATTATCTGTAATATACAAAAATGTAGATTCTGCTGCGAAACACAATGCTAAATATCTATTATTTTGAAGTGATAAGTCTTCCAATTGAACGTTAGATTCGGTTCCTAGTAACTCGCAGGTTAATTCTACACAGCAACCTGAACACAAAGGAAAAGGTGCGAAATATGGAACAAACGCTTTAGGTTAAAGGTTCATTTGTGTATAGAAAATCCTGGGGTTTTCATGGCATTTTAGATAGCCTTGTGTTTCCGGTAAATTTTGGAACGCTACTAAACATAGTAGCAGTATAGGTAGTCATCCAATCGGAAACGCAACATGTGACCTTTTACTTCCTAGATGTTTCTGGTAAAAAGTCTACTGAGTGCTGATTGAATAAGATGCTTCTCAGAATTTTCAGAGCCTTTGTCGGCTTTTTTGAGGAGTTTCCTGAATCACCTCAACATGAAGAATATTTAGTAAAAGGTTAAACTCTGTGTACATAATAGACGAAACGTTTACGTTGAGGTTCAACTATGTATCTGTTATTGTCATTATACGACATGAACATAATTCATTTAAGAAAATATATCGTTCTAAGGTAACAAAAAATATTTTATGGTTTAAGAGGGCGCTTTTGAGCAGTATAGTTTAAATGTAAAGCTTTCAAAACAGCTCTACGCAATTAAAGAAAAATGTGTTTGTAAAATCTCAGTTAACCCAAAGTTTTGCCTAGTAATCTGGTTCAAGCTTTTCCAAGAAATTATAATCAAAACATCGAAATTATAGAATATAAATTTGAAAAACAAGTTATTATAAAGAATAACAATGATCTTTAACATATTAAGAATTTGGTTCGCCGATAACTTATTCCTTTTGACATTTACAGTTGATTTTAACAGTGGAAAGAACCTTAAATTCACTTGGTGTTATTTATTTAAATCTTTGCACTGATGATTAGGACTGCAATAGACTAGTCTCTTGTTGGCATATGTGCATACTGTGCGTATTGTCTAGATATTGCCTTAATTCACAAGCTTTTACAAGCAAAGACGGATAGTGGCTAGCAGTCGAATCCAGGACACACATTTCCTCCTATTTGGGATTCGTCAACTAGGATGTACCTGCATTTCAAAGTTGATATTCACTCTGCGACCCGAACCCAGTACCGTTTGCTTCAAACGTCATTGCGTTATCCACTTAGCTACTGGGTCCTGATAGCCACTTGCCTGTACTAACAAGTCCTAAATAGGACGAAACGCGCGTGTTGGATCTCACTGCCAGCCACTATCCATCTTTGCTTAAAAAACTCTAGTTATATTATCATATTTACATTTTCTATAAGTCAATGTATCAAAAGATGTAGTTATCTATTTGACGACTACTTTCAGAGTTTATACACTTAAGGAAAAAAACTAAAAGTAAATTTAGTTTGTGTTGATATTGTTTAGTTGAACTCCTTCTTTCGAATTGCATGATCAAGTTTACGTTTTTATTTTTAAAATGTCTCATCATGAGGTAGCGAAAATCAGAAGACTTTATGTTTGAAACTAGGGAATTAGAATCATATGATTTAAATGTCCAACTTTATTCGATATTAACACAACCGAAATTGATTGTCAATAGTTTGGGAGTTTTTCTTTGATAATAGTCAACTTTATCTGTTGTGAATTCTGACTAGAACTTAAGAAATCATTTCTGATATTAGTCAACAGTTAGCATACGATCAAATTATGTAAGTCTAAGGATATGAAGCGTATGACAGATATAAAGTCTTAATAGGTGCTAGTCACACAATACCAGATATTGAAAAACTCAGCTATCTGCCACCATAAAGCCTGAGGGTCTCATGTCTGGGTGGCGTTGTGAATGCGCACCACTGAAGTATATGTTAAGACAAGGGATAATAATTTTAACGTGAACTGTTTGCCACATATAGGTTTTTGTACCCAAATATGAACCGTAGGATAACACTAAATAACAGTATGAATTTAAGCAGATAAACTGTAGCTCAAAACTGGAGGCGCCATCACAAAAAACAGTAATTCTAGTTTTAAATAAAAAGCTAATATTTGAAATACTCATTGAAGGCGATGATGGATGTGTTGCTCAATTTCGTGTATTAGCTGAAGTTAGACATTAGCAACGTTAGATACTAGCTCAGTGGTCTAGAGACTGAGCGTTTGCGCTCGAGACCAATAGGTTCTGAATTCGAATCTCGCAAAGCGAGACCATGGATGCGTACTTATGAGGAGTCCCACGATGGGACAAAACGGCCATCCAATACTTTCACGTTTTCCATAGTAGTGTAATTTAAATTGATTCATAATCTCAACTATTAAAATTACTCCATACTTGTTCATAACCCAGTTTTATTAGGGCTGACAAAATTAAATTAAAATATCACATTAAAAATTCTTTATTTTAATCAGTACACACCTTTTATTTCAATGATTATGCATCTACTTTCTTTTTCCCGTTTTTATTTTCCTCAGTTTACTGTGAGTATACACATGATCGATATCAAGATGAAGGACTTCGTCTCTTAGAAAAATATTTACCATATTTAAATCCAGAGACTGGTTTAAGAAATCGAAGTTAGTTATTTATATAATACATATTACTTATATATTTATTTATAAAAATGTAAATCTATTTTTAAATACATTTTCTTGATATCTATAACATTTTCACATGATATATAATATCAGTAATATATATAAAAATGCTTAATTATTTCAGTCACATTTCTTTTTTTGACGCGTTCAGTTATAATACTATGTATAGTTACTTAGTCACGCATATTACATTTCCAACTAGTTGTATAACACTTTCTTCGAACTTTAATAGAATCATGAAATGAGTTATATGTTGTAGTAGTTGTTGTTGTTTTACACAAATTAGATAGGATGTTTCAATTACTGAGTATATATGTTTGTTGCTAGAATACTATGTTAAAAATGTGTGTAAACAAATGTACATCAGCATATACGGTCATGTGGGTACAAATATACATATATATATATATATATATATATATATATATATATATATATACAAAATTTCTTGAGCTTATTAGACAGTTGATTGAGTATATCAGAGATTTATTATTAGAGTAAATGATTTAGTCACATGTGACATATAAGTATAGGTTTTATATATACATATGTAATTTTTCATTATATTGGCTGTATTCTCTAAACACTTCTATCGATCAATTTAATATTATTAAATAGTTTACTTCCATTAAATGACTATATAAAACTTTCTCAAGTCAGCTGAAGCATAAATCATTCGAATATTGGTAAAGGTAATTCTCAAGCATTTTGGGTAATATTTAAAATGGTAAATATTTTTTGTGCGTGTTAGCTTAAATGCATTTTTATAATCTATTGCTTTGAGAATTAAATCTTATTTTTCGTAAGAGTAAATGAAATACCATATGAAATGAATTCAATATTGTTGCTAATCATATCATTTTTAATCAATAATAAAATCGTTTATTTAAAGTAATATACAATTTTATCAAGATAGGGTTGTGGAGATTATTAATTTTTTGATTAAGATCATAACCAGTGCAATAGAAGATGGTCGCTTGATTTCATGGATTGATTGAGATTATATGGTAACGCCGTTGGGTGCCGGCTAATTTGTCCAGAGGTTAAGTGTTCGCGCGAGAAACTGAAGGCCCTGGGTTCGAATCGCGAATGATCACTACTGAGGAGTCCCACAATAGACCGAAATGGCCATCCATTTCTTACAGGCTTTCATTGGTCGTCTAACATCAATCAATTTATGATCTCAATCAAAAACTTAATAATCTTCACAACCCTATACTGATAAAATTGTATATTATTTTAAATAAACGATTTTATTATTGCTTAAAATTGATATGATTAGCAACAATTTTGAATTCATTTCATACGGTATTTCATTTAATCTAGCATCAATCAATTCATAATCTCAATCAAAAAGTATACAATTTTGTCTTAAAAAGATGTTTGTTTAAAGTAACAGATTGTTCAATAAATGTTTATATGTGTTACTGTTCTGTTTTACTTTAAATAGGTATAATTCAATCTCATTATTTTGTAGATAAGAACTGTAACTAAAAAGTGTAGTTGCGTCTTATATAACGTTGTTATTTTTGGAGGTTTTCAAGTATGCGTCGGAAATTATCACCTATCAATATGTAAGATAGGTTCAGTACACATTGATAAGTGTCTGAAATGTGTAACCTAGACTGGTGGATACATTGCAACATGATCGATAGCATTCGATCTGCACTAATAAGGACTTGAAACATATGACATTGATCACCACCCAGTTATCAATCAATTTTAACCTTGAGACAATATAACATGATACAAAAACACTCAGGTTTGTAAGACTATTATACTATGATATAAATAGATGATGTTCAGAAATATAATTAAAGCTTCATGACCAAAGCATTCAGCTCAGAGAACAAAGCTCTTTACCATCATTTCAGATTTACTACAAACATATAAACGTTCAAAGTAAAATTACACTTATTAATCTAGATGTTACTTTGGGATAAAGTTAAAATGATGGTAACGCAACGTGAACAAATTCTTTTGACTTTGTTTTAAACAACAACCCTTAATAAAATGTGTATACTTTCACAAAGATAGGTTCACGTATTTTTTTTTGAGAACTGAACTGATGAGATAGAACCCGTGAATTTAATGTTACCTTTCGCACTGTATCTCATCGAAACAATAACCGACTTTGATAGTAATTCTGTACAGTTGATACGTTGACTGAGCTATTTCACATGACTAAATAAATGAATAATCATATCACACAAAAAGTCAATCTTCGTAATTTAGTTTTATCTTAGTGATTAGCTTTTATCCAATTATTCGTTAGCGAAGTTCATAATCTTCTTAATACTTTCAGTGAAAACAATAAATTAGCTCAAAAAGAACTGTAGTTTACAGAAATGAGAGTAAATGACAAACAATCTAGATAACACATCTGGCCACGTGGCTTGACATCTTGCGATTTCGTTTACTTACTTACTTACGCCTGTCACCCCTCGCAGAGTAGCATAGATCGCCCACCAGCATTCTCAATCAAACTCTGTTCTTGGCAATCCTTTACGCTTGGAACTCTTCTAGGGCTACTGCCGACCCTAAGCCCGGGTAAAGGAGGAGGGTTGGGCATAAGATCAGCATTCCAATTTTGTAGGAAATAACCTTGATTTAAGAAAACGTGATTACGTTTTGTGTTTGCATAGTGGAGGAAAGAAAAACATGAGATATTTTGGAGACAATATAACGTAATCAAAGGATCATATCTTTTGTGCCAAATATACTTTTGTAGGGAATTAAAGGCTTGCAAGTCAATCCCATATATATGAGTTTAAAAATTATAGTCATTCCAATTTCAAAGAGACAGAAGTGGGAAAAATACAAATGTTAAGCGTTACGGTTCTTCAAGAACGAGAAATTCTAAAAGCAACAAACAACTGGATTGATTTTCCTAATACTACAGATGACCTATTTAAGAAAATTATTCCATTTCTTTGAACTTTTCAAGTTAAACAAACACTATTTATTTTTGGGTAATTGTCAGTAACTCAAGGGAATTATGACTGTTGTATGTAAATGATTTCAAATACTCCTGCTAGATGAATCTGTAAATTTAACAGAATAGTTTTATCAACAACTATCTATAATGTTTCCAGATACTAGCAATCTTCATTATAAGTAGATTAGTAATATAAATCAGTCATTACATATTTTGATGCTGAACACTAAAATAAACTCATCAATTTGTAAGAACATTTCATTTATTTAACGAAACTTTAATGCACCATACTTAATGATGAAACGTTGAAGGCTTTTGAAATAAACAACGGAAAACTATACTTACTAAGGAGCTACAGACTAAAGAAATGTATCCAGGGTTGTGATGGAACACTCACATTACTACAGATCGCAAATGCAGCAGTAGTTCACAAACGGTAATCTACTCTGTTATTTCAATGCCTAACCGTTCTATTTTAGTAAAAATTAATCCAAAATAATTAGTACTCCAAATGTCGATGGCTATTCTCAGTCGAAGATATTTCTGAACTTGAAGTAAATGATGCTATTCATTAAAATCTCTGATTATTATATCAGACTTTAAATATCCTAGACCTAAATTACATTTTCCACTATTTGTTTTACACCTTCAAGTGATTACTCGTGATCCCGTAACTGGTTTAGGTGATCTAGAAGCTGAATGGAATCCTCTTAACGGATGTCATTTGCGTAGAAGACGTAAGTTTCAAATGTTCTTACACATATCACCTTGAATTCTTGAAATTTCTCAATATCTTTTGTTGATGATTCATATAAGATGTAAAGAAACACTCAATCCAGTTATTCAAGGGTACCTTTTACTGATCTAATGATTTAAAACAGTTACTTCGTTATTTAATGATTCTCATCGAATTTGTAGATAGCTAACTGCACAAAACAACATTGATTGTAGAATCTGTTGGAAGTCAAGAAGTACCAGTCACCAGTATTTATATTCACTAAATGTGACTCAATAAATTTGTATACTTCTGATTTTAATTTCAATTCAAAACATTGAAAATAATTCTTCAAAGTGATAATTGTAAGTTGTTTTATAGTCTGCAGCATTTTTACATAAATCCTTTGTGATGTAACAAACGTATGCTGGACATAAAAAAGCCTCTTACAAATAGCCCTAGATTTCTCGCATAAAAACATCCTCACCTCTATCATGTCGTTTCAAGATTATGTCACTGATTCCCCTCAGAAGTTTGAAACTATTCAATAAGAAACCTATCTATCGGTAACAGAAATAGATGTTTATCAAGTGTGAGATGACGAAATTGCTTTGATAACACTACAACAAAGTTATGAGCTAGACTAACTAAAATTTCATATTATAGTTGAATATGAGGTCTCTGGAGATTAGAAATGCTATAAAAGAACGGCAAGACCATAATTTATGGACAAGCCAATCAGAAGCGTTTCGGGGATTTTAAGGTCGCGGCGTCAATTTCAGTACCTGATGCTCACTTACGATCGGTTCACGGCAAATTTTAGGGAAAGCGTGATAATTGAGCAACTAAAATATATGGGACTACTAAAAAGTTCCTTTATTTGTGATTAAGGTAATCAAATGACTTGTGGATCTTGTACAGACTACCGTGATGATGTTATCTTTCAATGTAATATGTGTTGGAGGAAGAAGTCTGCCAGAATAGGATTTTTTTCTCTCGATCCAGATTAGGACTAAGGCAAGTTATGACAATTATTGAGAACTGAATAATAAAAGCACCATTAACACTGGTTGGTACCGAATACTACAATATATACAGTTGACTGGAAAGCGTACAGATGGCTACATAGACTTGTTTATGTACGTCGTATCATCATCCGCAAGTGGCATTTTGTGGAGGCAACTACCGGAGTGCACACAAAAAAATACTGAAGCTATGTGGTCGAGCCTGGAAGAGCTTTTACGACTTTATCATGTCTCCAGCTGCTGAATATTATGGAGCCATATGGATGATTTCCTCTACTGTATTCATTACGATTTTAGAACCTCTGAACCTCTTTCTAAACTTGACAAGTTTTTGAACCATGTAGAAGAAGTGTATCCACTTTAATGCTTTGATTTTGTATAACATATTCTTATTATGCTAGCTGTTTTCTGATTGGCTAGTATTTCTCAAGGCCACATAAGTTCATTCAAAGGTCGTTCACAAATTATAATCTCGCCAAAAGAACTTTTAACAAATTGATTAAGCCGGAATTTGAAATGAAGGAACTGTGATTAAAGAATAATCAAATATACCTTTCGATGAGTATTATTTGATTTCCGGCTTTCCAAAAGTAAAAGTGACATTACATATTGAATAACAGCTTATGTTTCTTGTTAAAAGACATAAAAGATAGTGAACTGATAATCTTTGAACTGTAGAACAGTTTACATGTTTGCCTTAATTCATAAATATATTTTTATCAAAAATGAAATACATAGTTTCTCACTTATATTAAACTGTAGGAAACCATTAACTGCCATTGCTTGTGAATGAAAGACTCCTTATATCACTAAATATAAATGACTGTGATCGATAAGGTGATCATTCAGCTCACATAAAGTGTCTTGACATTATTTTAGACTTTATCTTTAGTCCTTCTACACAAGTAAATCATTTACTTTCACTTTTTGAAATAAGACTAATTCCTTTCATCAGGTAGACTAAATTTAACACAACATTTAAATTCAGGAGAGACGACTGTTTAACACAAATGAAACAACAACGTATGAATAGAAGAGGGTTAGTTCTTTGACAAACTGAAAGGTTATTTTAAAAAACAAACCAATCACCTTATAGCTATACCCTTATTTAACATCATTTCAGCGTTAGAAGTTGGAAATAAGATGTTATATCTGATCAACACTTCAGAAATCGATCGAAATTCAAACATAGATATCATCCAGACACAAATACGTAGGACCAAACTTCATACGGGTTGCAAAAGTTAGCAACTACTTGAATTCAGTAGCCCATTGGATAATGTGTCTGTGTTAGATACTGATTTTGTGTGTTAGTATAAACACTAATAATGCCATTAATCATTACTATTGATAACAAACACTGGGATGCAGGTACATTCAACTGACTAATCCGAATAGGGAAAAATGAGAGGCCGAGACTTTACCGCTACCTGAGGACCATAAGTAAATTGAGACTACTAACGACAGAATATATTGGGGAATTTTCTCATAATGTATCTAGGCTGGTGAAGGCCTATCAAATACCGTTCCCGAAACTAAATAAGGTGGAATATCAAACAACAATATTTCTATAAATATTGGTTTTACTGCTTTTATCAAATAAACTATCTGAAATTGCACAAAATAATTTAATAACTCTTACCCTTAGGTATGATTCTGTGGTTCACACATAAAGTAAACCGTTAGTATGACTTAAATGTTCTGTCTTCGTCTTACATGAATATAATTTATAGAGTACTGATTTTCATCGAATTAAAATTTGACAATTCGACTGAAACACAAACGGCTTTACGATAAGAGGAAGATCAAGTTAAAATATTTTAATATGACATGGCTACAATCATATTAACAGCGTATATTTGTTCTGGCAGACACAACGAGAAAATTAGAACAATTTGGATGCATGGACTGAAAACGGTAGTTAGGTTTATCTCACCCTGTAGTTGAAAATATTTTTCATTGAGCTATTAAGTTTCATCTATAAAATGTAATTATTTTAAGTGATGGATATTACCATAGTACATTAACAATGAAGTTGGGTGACACGGGATAGAATTTGCCGGGAAACTTAAGTTCCCTCTGGATTACAGGTACACCTGACTGAAAAATTCCAAATAGCATGAAACCTAGGTTCAAGGTCTCCTATAGACTACCTTTAATCACTACTTTATATCTCCACACCATATACACGATATCGGATCACTTGGACTAATGACCGTATTGCAATCCGGTCGATATAATTTGATCAACACTAGGAAGGACTACACATACATTATAATGGTCATTACTCAGCAATCAACCAATTTTAAAATAATACTTCTTCATAAATTGATTTTGTCCTGAGTTTGATAATTTCAATTCTTACTCCGGATAGTGTACTCTAAAATGAATTATGTTACTCTCTATGACCAAATAATGGAATAAAGTTTGTAATGAAAAAGTAAAACCATTCTTTGCAAAGTATTAGAGACTACTTCCCACTTCTCTACACATGTACTGTTGCTCTTACATTCCTACTATTTTTATGATTAACAGAGTACCGAATGTTGATCTCGGATATTTTTCTTAAGGAGCGAGAATTGTTCATCAAAACAATAGTAAGAACTTTCCAAATCACAAAAAGCACTACATAACTTGATCGGAGAAGAATATTTAGTTGAAACTAATCTGCCATAAAATGATACATACACAGATCAAATCAAATCAAAAATTAATTTTTCGGATTATAAATAAAGTATTTTCTGAACAGGAAAAAATATTTAAGCTTAGTATAGTTGAACCTAATATTACATAATGTGTCACAGGTTAATATAAAGTCATATACCCTCCTTGTAGCTTTGCAGTCGACACCATTTCAACCTAGATCAAACTCTATAAACTTGGTTATACAACACGGCAATGACTTTTAATTTAATAAGTATCCACTAAGGTATGAGACCATTATTGAAAGGGATCATTTACTCATGAGTTAAAATTTATTCAGGTTATTCGAATATATATAAAATGTTTCCGTGCTGACGCAAACTTACAATAATTAGCGACTAAATCCTTGTTTGTTTAGAAGCATTATCGATAGTTTCAAATTATTAGAACTATAGGGATCACGACGAGGTTCACATATTGCAGTAAATGAAGTTCACGATAAATTCATCTGAAAACCATATCCGAACAAAGTGATTTAGAACCAATCGTTTCATTGGATCATAGTATTTTGAACTAGGAAATCCAACTTCACTCCAATGTCATTTTAGTTGTTTAGTCGGCAACCCATTGTTACATAAGTAAAAAATCGATAAATACTAGCTTTTACAGATTACGCTGCATATGACTAAATGATAGGACCCATATTGACCTAGCGAAACTCATTCTGTTTTATTACTAGATGACATTTGTTCACCTACACCTAAATTACTAATCCATAGTACATTGAAAAGTGAAGTCAACATTTAAAATTAATTGATCACCGCGTAGTGATCAATGTCATAGTTGCCTAATCATTTAGTGCTGATAGAAATCTGTCGATCAAGTTGTAACTTGGCTACTAATATAAGTAATTCGATATTATGTGCACCTTATTTCAAAACCTACTATACCTTTAAACATATATTAAATCAATATTGAATGCAATGATTTGTTTTGTTGAATCATTTACATTACATTTAAAAGGAACTTCATTAAAAAGTCATTGAAAACTATGCTAATTGAAAACCTTTTTAATTCACTCTTAATACTTAACATCACGATTCAAATGGTTAATCTGTAGCGTATGTTCTCTGATAACAAAGTTGGTTTCCAGATAATGAAACTCATTATAATATCCAACTTAATTATTGATGATGGTGAAGTTGTTACACTCATAAATTTCAGAAAAGACCAATTAGTTAGGAATCTCGATTTGAAAATCCATGTCTGGAGAAAAGATTTAAAAGATATAACAAAGATATTAAACTTCAAATCTCACTTTATTCATGAGTCCATTGTCAAATCGAATGACAGAAAGGGCGTTTTGACGAGATTTTAGTTATCTAACAGTTGAATTCATGAGTCAATTAAAGCTAGACCATTATAAAAAACCTTCCAGGTTTTTCATACACGTTTTCGATTTACATTAATAATTTGTCAGAAAAATATCTTGATATAGTATATAACAGATAAACAATGGTTTAAAAGTAATGAGTAGAGCAACAATGTATAACAATTCTATCATTAAATATAATCGTTTTTTTAATATTTATACTATCTACATATCTCTTAAACATTAATACAGACTTTCCTCATCGTGATCCAATAAGAATGGAAGGTGATATGGGTACTGAATACAATTGTTTATATACTACTAAAGAACTCACATGTAAAGATCGTGTTAGTGAGTTCAACAAGTATTCTACTGTTTATTTTCACATGTATATAATAGTATTATGTAATGGATATAAAGTAATATCTAATTTTTAATATTATTCAATGTTTGACTATTTTGTTCCACTTAATTAGTTCAATTAACTCTTAATAACAAATAAAATAATAAAAATGATTGCCATCATCATATATACTGTGTAATTAGTTATTGATAATAATAGTAACAAAATAACTAGTTCACTTATGAATTTTATTTACTTACTGGTTAGCGTTTTTTTAGCGAGTTAGTATTCTAAGGGATAGAGTCGTTAACCTCATGCTCAACCCTCCTCCTTTATCCGAGCTTTAGACCGACAGTAGCTCCAGAGGGGTATAAAAAATAGAATTTTTAACAAATATAATTGATTTTCTATAATTTTCTAGAAAATAATAAACTGTTTTATCAAATTACAACTTGATCGGTAAAATTCAATAAGATATTGATTATCGAGTCTTAAACAATTAGTTCAAAACATTTCAATGGACGAACCAATCACGTATAAAATAACAGGTCTCGGACTTTGGCACGAAATTCATTCATCCATTTGGATAGAGTTTTAGCACTATAGCTGATTAAAACTTGAAATTTAATTCCTAAGCCTAATCATTAATTATAAATTATAATTATAATTCCTCACACAGGTTCATAACACTCATTCGGTCCTGGTTATTAAGTGAACACTCTCAAGGTCAGTCTAGTGTCGCTCAAAAGTCGTTTATAAATTATAGTCACCGAAAAATCAATCACAGCTTGAATAACTCAATGGTAGAATTAGATAAATTGAATTCAAAAAACATGAGAAATATTAATTTACTCTTAATTATGTAGTAAACTAGAACATTAGTGGGTTCAACCAAATGTATTTAATGACAAAATTACAGAACATCTTAGTAAAATCTGAAAACTATAAAGTAAATACATCATTTACAAAATGTCAATCAATCATCTCACACTCCATTGTTCATGCATTTTCATACCAATTGCTTTTTGTCCCCATTCTTTCTTTCTCAACCTTCTGCTACATATTGATCTTGACCACGGTCATATACTACTCATGTCGATATAAGTAATACAAACCACAACAATAGATACACCATAATAATGATCTCTTCTTTTTTACTACCTCCAATCATCTAATACTCAAATCATTAAATGATAAGACGTAATTACTTACTTACTTTCGCCTGTTACACCTCGTGAAGGAGCATAGGCCGCTCACCAGCATTCTCCATCCAACCCTGTTCCAACCAATCCTTTCCAGCTCTTTCCAGTTCTTATTCATCCCTTTCATATCCGCTTCTATTTCCAGATGTAACATGTTCTTTGTCATTCCTATTTTCCGCTTCCCTTCAGGATTCCAAGTTAGCGCTTGTCTCGTGATGCAGTTTGATGATTTCCTCAATGTATGTCCTATCCATTTCCATCGTCTTTTCCTAATTTCCTATTCAGCTGGAAGCTGGTTGGTTCTCTCCCACAAAAGGCTGTTGCTGATGGTATCCGACCAATGGATGTTGAGTATCATGCGTAGACAGCTATTGATAAATACTTGTACCTTCTTGATAGTGGTTGTTGTAGTTCTCCAAGTTTCAGCTCCGTACAGTAGAACTGCCTTGACGTTCGTATTGAAGATTCTGACTTTGATAGTTGTCTTGAGTTCCATATGTTCTTCAGTTGAAGGAATGCTGTCCTTGCTTTGCCAGTTCTAGCCTTTACGTCTGCATCTGAACCTCCATGTTCATCGATGATGCTTCCCAGGTATGTGAAGGATTCCACATCTTCCGGAATTTCTCCATCAAGAGTGATTGGATTGCTGTTCTCCGTGTTGTGTTTGAGGACCTTGGTTTTTCCTTTGTGTATTTCGAGGCCTACTGATGCAGAGACTGCTGCTATGCTGGCTGTCTTTGTCTGCATTTGTTTGTGTGTATTGGATAGGAGGGCTAGGTCATCTGCGAAGTCCAAGTCGTCTAATTGGTCCTGAGCTGTCCATTGTATGCCGTGTTTTCCCTCAGATGTCGAAGTCTTCATAATCCAGTCGACCACCAGAAGAAAGAGGAAGGGAGAGAGTAGACAGCCTTGTTTATAATTTTTGTTATTTATTTCAAATAGAAAATGTTCTCTTAGTTATGAATAAGTATGAGAATAAATCTGAAAAAGTAAAGAATGGAACATTAGAATAATGATAATAAAGAACAGTTGACAGAAAAGTTTTAACATTAATTTTCTTCATTAAAATATTGATTATAAAATGTTAAAACACATGTCCAAAATAAGATATTGTAGCTAGTATTCAAATCCTTTGTAACCAGCAGGGTAATTGAAAAAATCAATACTACACTTACTTGACAACACAAATTACATTAAAATCGATTATTACCTTAATTATACATTTATTTATGTTCATCATATATATGTTCCCAGTATTAATTATTTTTACTTATCCTTAGCATAAATAATAATACTTTTTAGATACTACAGATACAAACTATTCAAATGGGTACTTTTGTGTGGATCATTTGAATAACAAAAATGAAAATAAACACAGTGATGTTAATTATGATAATAATAATAATCATAATCATAATCATGAAGATTATACTCAAGGTAATGAATACCTATGAAAAGCTATGAATTAGTTCAATCAACCATATGTATATAAATTATTTTTTTTGAAAAAAAGGAATCTATGTATCAAATATAACCTTGAAAATAATTGGAATTTTTAAGAAAAACATTAGATTCTAATGTTTACATGACAGCATGATCCTATGCTCTAATGTAATCTTCAATCGATATTATTACTTACTGTGTTACATTCGGTTTGGTTGACTTTATTAGGATTACTAGAAATTTGTATCGAAGGCGTTTAATAATTAGCTTAAAGTTAATATGTATTTAAGTGTTTTATTGAGATTTGTATTGTTTTAAAATACTTACTGATAATAAACTAACATTAGACAAAGATCTTACAATATTATGAGTGAGATGAAATTTCAAAAGTGCATCACTCGATTCTGGCCTAGTAACGTCTAGTTGTCATCATTAACATAAATCTTCAATATTGCAATCGGGATTGTATATATTTACTGTTACGATGTCAAAGAAATGATCCCGTAATCTTTCATTTATTTACAAAAATTGTCCTTAAACTGAATAAATGTTTTTTAGAAAATTCCCAGTAAATTATAATCTAACTTTAAACAATAATGCTAAAACTACTTATTATCTACTTAACATTGACAATTAAATAAACTCAGAAAGTCATAACAATTTATTTAGTTGATACTTCTTTTTTGGCCAAACAGATTAATACTTGGCTACTTCTTTTGAAGAAACTTGAACCGAACTTTTTAACGAAACTTTCGATTCATTTTAATTCTAATCTCTAAGTGTTTTAAAAACATTTTTCTATGTATTTTACTTTATAAAGGATGTTCTCTGTAATGGGGATTTTTAAACACTGACAATGATCTAACATCTAATCAGGCCATAGAAAAATTTATGCGCAAATTTTACATTGTTGATTTCTTTAACTTCATTAGCATTGACATAAATAGAGATAGAGATTTATACTTAAAACAGTAAAGATTTTACTAGCATATTATTATCAATGAAAAACTCAACTAATCATCGTAATGAACATAGAAGAAATAACTAAAGAACTATCAAAATCACATAGAAATGATACAAGATAAAACATTGAAGTACATTAGTATTCATATAAATAGAACCACTGGTATTGTAGCGTTAGGTTCAACTTAATTACTTATCTTTCTAAGCATTTTCATTACATGCATATATATTTGTGAAATATCAACAACAACAAAAATCATCTAATTAGTTTAGCTGATTAAATCAATGACAAACATTTATAATTTACTATTTATTTTTCTATGTTACACTATATTTTCATTCTTCTTTCATTGCCCACCTAATAGACCGTGATCCAATAACACTTCAAGGAGATTTAGGTGAGGAATTAGACATGTTTAGACCACATGGTGGTAGGCCAAGAAATAAAATTGATCATAACATACATGTTTGTAAGTCCATAGTTTCCACCATAATTTTCCAAAAATACTTTAAACATTAATATATATATATTATAGAATAATATATATATAACATAATGATACATAGGTTTGTTTCATTTCATCATGATAATCTTAGCATTCCACAACTATATACATACGAATATCTCTATTCATGGACTATTTTATTTAAACCTTCTGAATTCATTTAATTAATCTAAATAGATTAACTGATTATTCATAGTTTTAAAATTACCAGTTATACATATTAATGATTATAGTAAAACTTGCTTATTCACAATGTTCAATCACATTTCATAATGTGATTGAGTCTATTTTTCCAATCAATTATATACTGTTCAATAAATTAAAATAATAATAAAAAATTGATTTTGCTTTATTATTCAACCATCATAAATGAGTACAATTGTTCTAAATGAATACAAGCATACAAAACGCGTTTCTTTTAATCAATATAGTGAAATTATGATATGTATATGTGACAAGTAATTTAACATTTCTGAAATTTGATAACCTTAATTATGTAATAGAATTTATCAGTATAAATTATAATTGTTAAATATATCAGTCAATGGTTCAAATGAATGTGACAGAGTGGAACATATTCAAACACTATTGAAAAAAAACTGTTTTTTCACAAGATCTCAAATATGTCTTATTGATGAGTCCCAGTCAATGTGAAGTCTAGGTTCATGGTTCTTTGATGAATGCTTTTAATCATATATATAAGCATATGTATATATACAATGACATCAGACAAAGCCTATGCTCGCCTTTTCTGGTGCAAAAACATGCTTTCTATGATATTTAGACAGTTGCAATTGAAAAATGAATCTTGTTATTTGTTCTTTTTGTTTTCTTCAGCAAGGTCTGATTCTATCAGTGGTAGATGCGAATATAATGTAGAAAACAATTCAGTAAATCAGTATAATGAAAGACAGTGTAATGAAGAGAATTCAAAAAGATATTCTTATCGTAAGTTATTACAACACTTTATTTCAAAAAAAAAACCTAAATAATTTGAAATTTCAATAAACTGAAAACAACAACTGGGTAAAATCAGAGAACCATACAGTAAATACTTCATTTGCAAAATATCCATTAATTGTTTCAAAATCTGTTGTTCCTTCATTTCTATATCAATCACTCTCTGTCTTAGTTCTCTTCTCTTCTCTTTTCCCAACGTTCTGCCTCCAGGCACTCCAATCTCGTTTAGTGCTATATACTACTTATATCTGTCTTAATCAGTAGCACACACCATACTACCAATTAAGATAAGGAAAAAACTACGAATGTGAAGAATAATTAAAAAGACTAAAAATGTAAACAAACTTATATGAAATAATACAAGGCATTTTGTTTCGCATCCTTATTTTCACTTTTTTTACATAAACTTATCTTCCACTCAACTAATTAATTTTTGCTTTGTGGTTCACAGTAACCAAATTCAAATCATTGATTTCTCACTACTAGAAACTCCATATACTACTCAATTTCCTCTCTTTTCATTTATTATTCTAATAAATCATATGCCTGATTAATGATTCTTTTACATTTCAAGTATTCTTTATTTATTTCAGTTTATTCAATTGACTAATAGAATGTTTATGTTTGTGAAAATCTCATAAATTGAAATTCATTAACTTTATCAATCTAGTTTGTAATTCTTCAAGTAAATAGTTCAAATTGAAATCATCACAGATAAATGAAATCCATATTAAACTATCTTACAGTCATGTTCAAATATTGATAATGTTTGAGTCATTTATCTAATGTCTTTTGTATAATGGACCTTATATTTTTGTGGAATTTATAGTAGCGTAAAAATCACCTCTTATTCAAATAGTCAAAACAACTAAACATGATAATAAAAATAATAATAATAATAATCCACAAGATAAATTAATAGCATATGTTATGCCAATCATGAGGGTTTTTTGTGGATATTATAGTAATTTTAATAGTTGAGCCAGACCACCATGGAAAATGTGAAAGCATTGGACGGCCGTTTCGTCTTATTGTGGGACTCCTCAGTAGTGTGCAACCACGATCCCGCCTCACGATATTTGAACCCAGGACATATCAGTCTAGCGCTCGAACGCTAAACCACCAAACCACTGAGCCGGATGGCATGCAACGGTGTTAATGTCTAACTTCAACCAATCCACGAATATGGGCGACACACCGACCATTTTCTTCAATGAGTTACTATCTCACAATAGACCCAGTTGTTATTCTACCAAAATTGAAACGATTGTTAAAAATTGAACTAATAATCGTACATATATATTTATGTATCCTGAAAATTCACATTAACTTGACTCAAAACAGAATACATTGTGAATTTCAACATTTTTAAAGTTATAGGTTCATTAATAGGACAAGATAACTATTCGCTCTTCTCTTGATATTTATAATTTCAATCTGTGATAAGAATTAGACTTCAAATAAGAAATAGTAGTCTGTAATATAGAACTCTATCATAGTTTTCTTCCCATTATTTCATGTTAATATCTGAAGTTTAGTGTATATATGTAGGAGAAATGTATCGATTTCGGTAGATTAGTGTAATACTTGTTTATGGACACTTAAATATTCAATCTTAAAATGACAATATCCAGATTTTCAGAAAATGCAAAATGATAATAATGGTAGCCGACATATAAGCGTCGATATAACAGTCACAAACTAGAAGTTTATAAGGCATATATTTATTTTTTACAAAAGGATTATTAAAAGAAATAACGTAAATTTATCGATACTGGAAAAATTTTTACAATGTGAAACCAAAATGCCGTTATTTGACCATACTACTCACTAATCAAAAAGTAGTACAGTTATATCTTTAAAATGTAAATCAATTATTTTCCATTGATAATTTTCATTTACTAGAACACTACCACATATTTCACTTTTGTCCCTATTGGGATAGACTTTAAATCATTTTGTATATTGGAAATTGTCTTGTAAAATCCTGTCATTTACTTCATTTCATTAGAATTTCATAGATGACTGATACGTATTTTTTTTTAATTTTTAGTTGCTACAGATCCGATAACTCATTCACTGCCAGAAACAAAACTAGTTCGATCTCAGTCAGTACGACATTATAAAGAAGCATGGGGTAAGGTTTGCAAATTAAGACAAAACATTTTTAATTAATTTTATATGGATGCTTTATTAATAAACTTTATAAAATATGCCGCGTTACAAACTGATTAATTGACTACTGAAATCGGTTCGGTTACTGTATTTTAAGTCGCCTTCACATATAAAATTTACTTTTAACGAATAGTTTATAATTGTACCCCGTATTCAAGTTATAAGTGGACAAATATAGTATTCACTGCCATAAATGCCTTGGTATTCAGATAAGTAAACGCCTTAAGTAATGCATAAAGTGTCTTAAGGACCTTTTAGGTTCAGTTTCAGATAGTTTTCAAGCCATGGTTAATAATATCCATACATTTTGCACATACATTAGTGAGCTTATAAACAAAATATTGCACATTAACCTCCGCTTACTAAATAATATTTTAAGTCATTCCAAATAAACTATGGCATTTTATCCTACCATAATGTTTGGGTCCTTCTCACATAACAGAGTTGTTTTTGTAATAATCTTTGATAAAAATCATTGATACAGTCTTAGTTTATTCTGAAAAAAATCTTCGGAACGTGTTCGGATTTTTTTCCCATGTTACTATTAAGACAAAATATGCTTTTTCAATAGTAAACTGCCTTCTTTTATTAAGAATCAATATTAGACGACTTATAACATGAATAAAAACAATAATGTATCTCAAATTCATTTTCTTTGCCTTCTGAAATCATCGAAAGCTTCACCAAAAACCAGAAGGACAATCAGAAATTTTATCTTACTTCAGTAGTATACACCCACACTATGAAACAATGTAATTACAGTATATTAGAAGTGAATTTGATTTCTTTCTACATGGTATGTGATAAAAATCCATCACGTCTCAATTCTCCTCTCCAAAATCGTTTTGATAAAAATCAATAAGCCTACATTAAAGTTAATTATTTCTAATTTCTAATAGATAACATTTGGTCTCATTTTATACTTGACCTGTTAAATAACAAAGTACACACTGAGTGAATTTCCCAAATTTATTTGATTATTCAAGCTCTAATATGATGGAACACATAATACAACTTAGTATAAAAAAAATGATACCGATTTATGTTTGTCAATAAAATTTTCTTTCAGTTTAGAATTAGTTGATCTACAAACCACAAGATGAATCAATAAAAATATGAACTTTCTTCTGCCTTAAATTTTTTATTGATATTACTAAAACTTTAAGAAGGAACTTTTACGAGCATTCTGTCGTTGTTATTTGAAATGAAGTAGAAGAAAATTCCAGAATATTGTACTTTATTTACTGACTTATTCTTTTTCTCTACTTTACCAGTACACTTCACTTCCAATTCAGTGATTGGTATACTATGTTCCGTTGATTTCTCTTCAATTACATACAAACTAATAATTTTAATTATCTTCATCTAGTAATATAATGTTCAAATTCAATTGATAAAGCATAAGTTGTGTGTAGTGTAACAGAAGTTGAGTTTTAAAACGAGGTTTTTTATAACTACTTAAAATACAATGAATTCATCGTAGTTTGCAAATACTTTCGTTCTTACTTTGTTTCTCAGTAGAATGCTCTAGATAGATGTGGTGTAGTAAATAATAGACGCTTAGATAATAGACAAATATTGAGCACAAGACGAATTATGATGAAAAGTACTCTATCCGTAAGTAGGAGTTGTATATGGTCTTCAAATACAGCCACAAGTTATAAGGTATAACTCCAGTTTGCTTTCTTATATTTTTTATTAATCTTTCTGGTATAAAGATTCAAGAACGTGGCGTGATATAGTTTAAATTAATCATTAATCTTGAACAGTTTGAGAATAAGGTTCACAAATATTTGACAACTGCCCTCATACACTTATCGACTGAAGTAATCCATTATGCTATACCATAGCATAACTTCGTATGAGTACTTTGATGCGAGGATTTATGGTCAACTCTTAAAACTAAATAAACACACTAGTTATCACTCGTTAGTTGCTTCCTTTACGTAATCTAGGTGTTGAAAACTTACTCTTAAGACAGAAGTAATTAATGACAAACTCAGGTGGAAACACTACCAGGTATAGAATTCAGTTACCATGTGTTAATTATTTTACATTAAGAAAAATAACCCCTCTATAAGATAAGATAATTTACACTAGCTGAGTTGATATTTAGTAAATGACGAATATTAATTTCCTGTATAATGTTTTCATGTTTTTTCTTTCATCTAAACATGACAAATGTTTTAATATATATTTCAGCTACTCATGATCCAATTGGTTATATGCACAGAACGGGTACATCATATAAGACGGATAAGGTTCGAGGAATGAAACATTTTCCAATCAATAAAAGTATGTTTTAAGTGAAATTTCATTATTGCGTAACCAAACGTTACAACTTTTAAATCTTCAAAAAGAATCATTTCCAGTCTATTTAAACATAAGTAATTATAATAAGTAGAGGAATTTCTACATAACCAAACAGTATTAGAATCATATCAATTATAGACTTAAAGCTCATAGAAAGTGGTTGATTTTTGTGTTCTTTTTCCTAATCGAAGGAAAATATCTCGATATTTGACGGTTAGAATCAATCGATGGGAAAATTTAAAATTAGATTTTGGAGTAAATAACACCCATCCGAAAGGTATATCTGCAAGGTGAATAGTTTAATATTACCAACCCTATCCAAAACACTCGATAACACTAGTATAGATCTATCAGAGGTGGCTTAATATCTTCAAGATTATTGATACACCTTGCTGAAATTTGTCAACTAGCTTGGTATAAGACTTTTGAGGATTCTTTCATTTGTCTTCAAGCACCTACAATCAAACAAGGAAAATCTCAAAAAAAAATTATTTTCTTCGAAATTCTTTGAAACCTGATGTCGTGTAAACCAATTTTATTGATATTAATGATTCAGTAGTCATCTAAGAAAAGTTATAATTGTAGGTTTCATGTTGGTTTGCACTGGTCATCAATATGTATCTGCACTCTGGAGAAAACTGATGTTCACCAGTAGAGTTTGAGTCCAACCCTCTCCCATAGTTATAGTCAGAGATGTTATCGCTGAACTGTTCGAGTGCATCAAAATGTATATACGTTATGAAGAAAGTGAGTTATCAGGCGATTGTGCATATCTAAAACTTATTTTCAAATAAAAGAAATTAGCTTGTATTTTATTAATACTGAAAGCTTATAACGTAAAATTGTCTAAAATAGACAACTTTTAATTATAACTCCATTGGATATAACGATTACTATTTCTGTATATTTCTAAGCGTTATGCTTAACAAACTATCAGGTTATCTTCAAGTATTACATTGATTTTAAACAGTTATATAAACTACAATTTACTATTTTCTATAGATAGTGGTGATCCCGTGACTCATCGATTATCAATTAATCATCATCGGCAGCAGCATCGTCCCAAACCGACATGCACTGCCTCAATATCTAAATTCAATACCCTTAGAGGTATGTTTGAGAAATTCAGTTCAGAACTAGAGCTAACCAAAAAGCTAATGTCAGCATTTCTTCTTTACCTTGTAAAACCGGTTCTGTTTAAAATCCGAATGTTTACTTGAATAATTGTTCAGTTCAATCAATTGATTATGATATTCACCCTTGAAAATTAGTGAAAATCATCACTAAGTACTTCCAAAATATATATATATATTTTTCCTATTATATACTCCAAGTAAAATTAAATTCGCTTTTTAGTGCATTCCCTAATCAACATAAATAATAATTGTAGAAGTTTGCAAAACAAGCCAACTTTCGCATCGTTTCCTACAGAACGAAAAAAGTGTCACTAATGACATCAAACTTATGTGGAAAGATTATTTATTTTTAACTTAATCTAACATTTAAACTTCGTCAGTTGATCATTTTTCCGGGTTTTTTAATCTTTTGGTAAACTGTTACTACTTAACAAAATATCCTAATTTTCCAATATGAGTAGTATGAATACGAATAATTTCAAATATCATACATAAAAAATTCGCTTAAATTAAAATCTCCATAAAAATTAAACTTGCATTTGTTATGTGGAACATTCATATACTTTAAGAGAAATCTAAATGTTATTTTAAGAGACTTCTGTTATGTCAACAAAAAGGCACTTTTTGAAAAACGATTCGTTCGTTGATTCATCATTTTAGTGAATAAAATCATTAACTCAACCTTCTGTTTACTCTCTACTGTTATAATATCAGTTAATAGCTGTTGACTAGTGTATTGTCCCCAGGATTACACCACATGTAATAAGTCATCTTGTGTCAGAGAAAAAGAGTAAATAAACAGTGAAATAAAACAACCATCTCGAAATCTGATTAGTGACACATTTATATTACAAAATTATCTGAAGATGAGGTTGCTTTGAATTCCTTTCCTATGTAATGGCATATAGTTAGACTTGGTACGTCATTGTATGTATATATGAGTTCACTGAAATAACATTAAATAAAAATCACTATATTCGTTAGAACAAGACTTCACTAACGGCCAGGTTCATACACAAAAGTTAACGTGAGATCTAATTAGCAACCACGTATTGTGGGTCATCTAGAAAAGGAGACCAGAGGATTCTAGTTCAAAACATTTACGGAATAACACGAACTTGGAGACCACAGAAAACTAGACAGTAGTGAACTGCTTTATCATCTTAGTTTTGGATTTCTTATGAATGTGTATCCATCAACTAACAAGTGATTCAAAAAACAATCATCACTAATTCTGAGTCGGAACTCAGTGGTACATACTTTTTAACTGCATTTAACTAGTGATATAACAAATATCACATATTTACTACTTCTGTATCTATAGGAAATCGAATAACTAATTGAGAATTTTGAATCACAATCACTAAGAGACATTAGGGTCCTTATCAATTTATCATTTAAAACATTTTAAACCATACATGAATGTGTGTCAAAATCTCGACAATTTGTAATGATTATAATGACTAAAAATCAATTTCATTTTGGTTAGTATGAAAATAAGAAATTGTAATCAAATGAATGATTATCACCATAGTTATCATCAAAATTCTTTTACAGAAAACAGAAAAGTGACCTCAAAGATAACTGAAATATTTATTGTTACAAACAGTAAATCGATAGAAAGTCAGAAAAATGATCCATAAATGATTAGTTATATGTTATTATACAATTAAATTAGATCATTATTAAGTGTACTATATACAAAAGTAATCTAGTTTCGGTAAAAATTTTATCATCTTTAAATGGATTACGTAGACAAATTGATTTTCAATGTAATTCATTTATAAAGTATACTTTTGTGTATTCAGCTATCAAATGTAATTTTATGTAAAGTCACAAATGGAAGTAAGAAATGAATAAATAAATGTATAAAAAGAAACTCTTAAGTTGCTTCTTACTAAATGATGTATTTCATGGTAGAAATTTAAACTATCAAACACTAAGTATGAAATAATGACGTATCATTTCAATCGAAAACCAGGAAACACTAAACATTTGTTTTATTCCAGTTTGGAACCCAGCAAAGCATATACACGATCGCACCACGGACCTTCAGGTCTCGCAGTAATGTCCAGAATTGACTGGAGTTAGATATGAAAACTATTAAATCCCGATTCAGTGATCTTACTCTTAAGCACTCCCCAAGAGACCTGAAGGTTCCGGGTTTGATCCTTGATAGAGTCATGGATGAACATTTCGAAGGAGTCCTACACCAGATCTTTCTTGTTTTTAATCGCTAGCTATATTTAATCGGTTCGTGGTCTCAATGATGGACTGTGTAGATTGTATATCTAGTGACTGCGTAACTATAAATTTATGTATGAATGTAAATGTTAATTAAACACGTACGTTTAATAATCAAGAATTTTTTTTTAACTATGACGCTCTAGTGAAAAAGGTGTTTAAATCAGTTTACGTGACTTGTTAGAAATCATAAGTAAACGTGAATTAGAAAAAGAAATATTACTCTAGAAAAGAAATAGATTCTTATGATTACCTTAATTCATAACTGACTAGAACGATAAGTGGACTAACAAGTACCACTAATTAGAGAAAAATATAATCTGTTAATGCCTTAACCCTTGTGATATATATAATTGTACATACACGTCTTTGTATTTTATCACACCTTATCTTAATTATATTAATATATTGTATTGACCAAGTCATTTTAGTATAAATATACATTTAAAACACTAACTTTTGTTTATCTATTAACAAACATTTTAAACCATAAAAACCCATCAAAAATGGGTTAAACTAAAATTTTCACCTATCATATTATTTAAATCAATCTTTATAATATTTGATTCTACCATTCTTATTCATTGATCTTTAAATGGTGACTTAGTGATGATCGAATTCTATCGACAAAGTCCCAATGTGAACATTACTCAAACAGACTAGATATCATACTGATTATATTTTGTTTGGAGGCAATTGTTAAAAATCTGTAGCTGTAGATTCCCTAGCAGCTAGTACTAGTGACTATAACCACTGTATGAGCTCTACTATTATATATCAAGACTATTGATAGCTATTATGTATAATAATATAAATTATTCGTTAAACAGGCATACAAAGAATACATTGGTTGAATTTAAAATAATTCCTTAAATATCACTATTAAACAGATATTTTAGCTCACTTATCAAGTACAGATACTGTTTACTCAGTGGTCTATGCAACAAATAGCGGTGCTACTGGAGAGAGGTTCAACCCTGGTACTTATTAAATGAAAATCAAGTGATTTAACCAATAACTCACAGCTTCACACTATGAATAAATATCTACTGAAATATGTGAATAGAACATCAGTTTCGACAAAATTTACGCTAATTAAAAGCACTACTTTAATTTTGTTAACATTTAAAACCGTTAACCATTGACGAGTCAAACGTCTAAATGCTAAGATCTTGACGCAAATTTGAAAAGTTTCGGTTAGATACCCGGTGGAGTTGTAGATGTGCACTGCTAAGAAGTTCCGTACTAAAACGAATTAACTTTCCAGTGTTTCATAGTTTTCAATGATTATTTAATTCAGATCAATCCATGTTGTGAACTATGAAATCTAAACCATCAATTCAAACCAAGTAGGCATAACGAACTAATTTAAAAATACAATCTAGAAAAGTAAACATAAAATACGAAAAACCATTTATTGATCATCATATATATGGTGAATGCGTAAAACATAGTTGGCTGGAATTAACCATGTTATATTAAAAACTAAATAAAATGAATTTATAAACAATGGTATATTGGTAAATCGATCCGTATACTCTGACTAACCTTGAATTAACATTGGCTTCAATAACATGAACTATAGTCAAGACTTAGAGACAAATATGAACAAGAATTATATTTTATCTCGTGAAATAGCTTATCAGTGTTTATCAATTTCCTGTGATTCGGGTATTTTAAATCAGTGATGATTGAAAGTAAGGTTAGAAAATTGAATAACATTATGAAATGAGAAGACAAGCGTAAGTTGTAAATATTCGAACACAGGGAAATTTCATAGCACTGATCATCTATGATTAAAGTAAGCATAAAATTCCAGGTTGAAATGTCACTCTGGTTAATAAATTCTTAAATTTTACTTGAATTATATGGTTTTAACATATGCATTCTATTCCAAGCTGCCGCTTAATCCAAGGTGCTGACACTTTTTTGTGCTCTATTGCTACCTAACATTGTATAACGACTAATTCAAACTAATATAACAACTGTCTTGAATAAATATTTTCCGCATTCGAATTTATCGATTCAGCGAATACTAATCCGATTACACATCAACAGAAAAATATATCTTCCGATCAATCACCAATTGGACTGAACGATGAAACATCGACAATCGGAGACTTCAATGAAGCGACTATAGGCAATGTGTCTGTCGTTTCAGAGAATAGAAAATTACGAAGGGGTATGTTAATCGCAGCTGCAAAACTATGTTATTACAAGTATTTTAAGTAAACTAACACAATTGTTTTACTTTGTGAGGGTCTGAACTATCCCATTGTTGTCGAAGATACATCTAGGTTACCAATCACTACAATGACAGGATGATTCAAACCCCTAAAAGTAAAGTTTATACCCATTGAATAAGCTATGGCTTAGTACCTCAGTAGATTATACGTTAGAAATTCCAGGCGAGTCTCAGTGTAAAAGTCAATACTAGGGTACAGGTAAACTGTTAGTCGACGAACTCCAAATAGAACAAAATATGCTTCCTGTGTTTCATTTCAAGCCACAATCTCTCTATTCTATAACACGATTGAGTTTTCCTTTATATGGAATTAAGTAATTTTACTTATTTCTAGTTAGTTATTTTCACTTGATGTTAGTGTTTCGACACAATAAAAAACTTTTTAAGCAAATGATTTATAATCTTTCAATCAAATAAGAACATTTGAATAATAAATGGCTAAATCTAAAGTCTCAGGACGACGTATAATAACATCCTGCACACCTAAAAATCTAAAATACTGTGGAAGTTGGTTACATGAATAAATTATAAACAGAACTATTGGTACTTTATCTACTTATCATCACACATGTTTATTAGTGAAATCAGTTTTTGAAAGTTACGGTGTATGAAGTAATTATTTTCTTCACTATTGAAAGCATTTTAGGTATTAATTGTTAAAAATTGTTCATAATCTGGGTTTTTTGAACATCAAATTAGTCAGCGAGTTTCAACAATTTGTGTTTAGTTGTAGTACAATTGATCTTAAAATACTACTGACACTGTTATTTCTGAAAACGATGTTGTGAAAATTAATAAATAACGTCATAACTACAATAAATTTAACCAAATCTCATTCATATAATTAAAACAATGTAAATCATAAGTGGTATGCTAGGTATCCATCATTTCGATGCATTACGTCAAATATTTGTAAGGGTTTATACCTTCTTATTATTGGTGTTACGGAGTCGTAGCGTGACCAGCAACACTGGGATGCAGATACATCCGGCCGATAAATCTCAAATAGAATCAAATACTTTTCCTGAACCTCAGTGCTAGTCACCATCCGACTTTGTTAAATATTTGTAACTAAATGGTAATATCAGGGAAATCCGCTCAAGATGTACATATCTTAATAGGAACCAACAGATTGTAGTTCCTACCAACAGATGAGAAAATACAAATCCTAACAAATAAAAGTCACACACCCAGCAGCTGAAAGAATAACACATCACTGTTTAAAAATAGTGGTTCTGGGTTTAAGTCTCAGTATGTTATTAAAACTTAAATCTAGATACATCCAGTGGATGAGTCTCGGATAGAACGAAACACTTTTCCTTGACTCCCCAGCTAGTCACTATTCAACTTTACCAACAGACGAAATATTATGCTTGACACAATAAACCCATTATGGAAATAACCTACAGTATATGTACATTGTAAAATCTTTAACGAAATATTTTAACAATCATCTAGGTTTATTATAAATTAGGAAAAATGAATAACTAGGCTAATTCAACAGAAAACATAGAGAGTATAAATTTGTTGTTCATGACACATATAATATTCGCTATTTCAACTTGGTTAATTAAACTATGAAACTAATTTTATTTTTTTTAGCACTTCGAAATCCCATTACTGGTGAAGGAATGTGTGACAGTGATTATATTGACCTACTGAAATTACCAAGTGAATATTATTTCCGTAGAAATCGAGACACTTTGTCATCGACATTAAATATCCATTCACATTCACCACCAGTACAACCAGCGTCAACAACTACACCTTCAACTAATACTGCTGTTGCTGTCAAAAAAGTACCTGTTCAAAAAGATGCCAATCCAACGAGTAAACTAACTGCAAGTAAACCAAGACATCAAACACCGCCACCAGCACCACCACCACAACAACCGAGACTGGAGCCAAAAGTTGAAAAAAGCACCCCACAACCTATAGGTACGTACATATATCCAAACTTATTCCAAATACTGTATATTATTTTAAAGGGTAATAATAAATGTATGATTCCCAGAACTTAAATGACTAGTCTGTATTGTCCTCTTAAATTAGATATTAATTAATGGAATTTTCAATATGTTTATTACCACTAGTATGATTTTATTACCCTTATTGATATTATAGATCAGTAATCTGATATCGGATCACAAATCAATATCAATTACCCAAAGCAGGTATCCCATAGTAATGCACGAATTTGTAAACAATTACAAATTAATCTTTTAGTGAATGTCACCAAACAAACAGGTCATTTATTCATTTACATTTCATGGAAATTTTATGTCATGATAATTCGCAGTTAGCTATTTTAATTAGAATTTGTTCTATATAATCTGTCTACTTAAAATATTAATTTTTCAAGGAATTGTAATTGCATCGGTTATTTTATTTATTTGTTTGAATACATAAATATTGGTACAAAGGGGCACCGAATACATATGCGCCACACAAGTCACTTGATTTGTGTGTAGGCTATGCTACTGCCCGGGTGCCCAGACCGAACCAGGTGGTTTTCTTATGGGGTAACACCCGGAACCTTCGACCTAAAGGTCTGATCCACAAGGCAGTGGAGCATCGTCATGAGATGTAGTCGCATGATAACCGTTGACCAACAATTAGTTCATACGCCATTTGTTCTTTAAGGATACTGGAGCTCATATGCACCATTAGTTTGGAATCAGGGTTTTCCAACTCCCCTAGGTAAATCCTTTATATCCACCAACTCGGTTAAGGGCCAGACATTCACTTTTCGTCCTCACAATTTCATAAACAACACCTCCGCCACGAGAAGGTAGTGAGCAGAACTTGCATAAATTAATCTGATCATTTCTGCTCTACATACTCAAACAAAAATATAATGTGTACTTAGAAGTTCTTTGTGAAAAAAAATACCTTCATCAAATTGAAAACAGGATTTTTCTTTTAATTCACGTTAATACTCAGTAAAATATGATATTGAAAGAAAATTAAGATAAACTTTGAATAACTGAATAATTTCAACATTTAACTAGTATATTACGTACGAATAAATGAATGAATTTCTAATTTTATAATATGCAAATAATGTCATTTGATTTGATTATAAATGTCACAGACTAATTTGTATTGAAATGATATTAATTTTGATGGAGTTTTGTTCTCTGAACTGGATGGTTTGGTCGTGTTTAAAGTATTTCTTCTTTGCTCTCTGTGTCGTTTGCATGATATTTCTATGGCTGTTGTCAAGATTTCCAAGTGTTTTGACATGTGTCCTTTGTAGCTTCATTTTTTGGTCCTCTATGACTTGTTGGTATTTGCGGATCCTGTAATGTGCATCCGTTATTAGTAGATGTACCATTTTCCTTCCACTTTGCTCAGTTATTCTTCATCCCAATGAGCAGTTGATTGGAGTTCTGTCTCTTATACTTGTTGATAGAACATGCTGACGAAGACACTAGTGGAGAAAATACAGTTGTTCTCGAGTGGAAGCCTGCCTTTTGGCGAAATTCTCCCATTTTCGAACAAAGAGAAGCGTACTACGCTTATATGAATTTGAGATGGTGAAGATTTTAGCTGAGGTGTATGATTTTGATGGAGGTTTGTTCTCTGAGTTGGATGGTTTAGTCATGACCATCCAAATCAGAGAACAAACCTCCATCAAAATCATACACCTCAGCTACAAATCTCCATGATTTTAAATAAATAACGTTATTATGAACATAATTCCAACTTAAATTTAATGATAACCCAAAACAGACTGAAAATTTATAGAATCTCGTATACAAACTACATATATTCAATTCTCCATACATTCTTTAATACTGAAAAAAAAAAAACAATGACAAGAGACTAACTAATAAGGTGTCTATAATTTACATGATAAATACCGAAAGGGATATTCGACATTATAGTTAATTATGAATCATACTATTTACGTTATCTGACAATCAGTTTCTACCATCTTATATGCTTAATTAATTCAGAGAGCGTGGACCTACCTAGTAAGATAAGACTAACAATTATCAACAGAATAAATAAGTATAAGAACTGGAATGAATTACCGTTATCAAAGTCAATTAGTAATAGTATATTGTAATGTAAACGAATGTGTTTTTTTTGTTGTTGTATAATTTGACATTAAGTTTTGTGTATTTTCTAACACATGACGACCAGTCATCATAAAACCTGATATAAATATGTAATGACCTTAGTTACTGTACTATATCAGAACATGACGAAGTTAACAGAATGAATCGCAAATCAAGCAGAACAAATAAAATCATCATAATAGTAGAAAAGATTGAATGTAAAGAATATGGTTTCAAAAACAAAACATTGAAATGGGATAATAAAAATTATGAAACGAGATTTCAGTGAAGATAAACAATGAATCCATTTGGGTCAATCCGGTCGATTTTGAGAAATTACTATGCGTATTTCCAAAGTAAACAAAATGTTCACCTGGTAAACGATCTATCTATATAAATTAATGCAAATAAATTTAACAGGAGTTATGTAGAAATAATGCATAGATCGACATTGAGTTATTGTAAGAATATGATTTAAAATAATCTAACTTTTAGAGGATACCAAGTCCGGATAAAGGAGGAGGGTTGGGGTCAGCAACACTTGCCAGAAAATACGCTAACCAGAATACACAAATTAAACCATTTAAACTCTATCCTCCGAGTTGAAGGATTTACATTCAGACGAATAATGACGCCTCATTGTGAAAGCCGAAATTCTTCGGAAGTCACAAGATCGATAGCCCTTCTAGCAACCACAGAAACAATTAATATAAGTGCATGGAATGTCCAGACAATGTGGGAGACCGGGAGTAGATACAATTTGACAGTTTTCGGACTTTGAAACCCACTGGACCCAACCTGGACAGAAAAGGTTAGGTTCGGGAGAGACGCTTCTGTACTCTGGTCACAAAGAAGGAAATGCTCCAATACTCAGAGAGTTGCTCTCATGCTGTCCAAAGAAGCACGTAATGCACTTATAGGATGGAAATCACAATAAATGTTATCCAATATTATACACCCACCAATGATAGCAACGACGATGATAAATATCTGCCTTATGATAGACTGTAGTTAATCGTAGAGACGTTCCTAGCGACGAACCTAGCCATCCTGATAGATTACCTAGACGCCATGGTCGGAATGTACAACACCGGGTATGGAGATTTCATGGGACGATATTGACTGGGAGAAAGAAACGAGAATGGTGATAGATTCGAAAATCTATGTGCATTCAACAAATTGGTCATAAAAGGCAAAATATTACCCCACAAACGCACACACAAAGCTACATATGTCTTATTAGATTGCACTACAGAGAACCAGATCGATCACATCTGTATCACTAAAGAATTCAGAAGGACGATGGAAGACGTGAGAACCAGGAGAGGAGCTGACATAACTTCAGATCACCACCTGGTTGTGATTAAGATGACACTGAAGCTAAAGAAACAATAGAAACACTGGCGAAACAGCATTATAAAGGTTCAGTATAGACTTCCTTCGAGATACTGACAAACTCAACAATTCAAGATAACCCTCAACTGCAGTTTCCAAGCCTTACATGATCTACTAAAAGAAGAAATTACTATGGAGGGCAATTGGAAAGGGATCAAGGAAGCTCTAATGTCAACATGACAGGAGGTGCTGGGACTCGACAAGCATCATCAAAAGGAATGGATCTTTATCGAAACCGTGGACAAGAAAGGAAGTAAAGAAAGACAGCAATTAACAACAGCCGAACAATAGCAGAGAAAGTCAAGGCACAAGCTGAATACATTGAAGCAAACAAGCAAGTGAATTGGAGCATTAAAGCTGACAAGCAGAAATACGTGGAAGAAAAGAAGCTTCAAGAGAAAGAAATATAAGACAACTACATGACAAAACGAAGAAACTGACAAGCAACTATGGTAAACCAGAGAGACCAGTCAAGGACAAAGGAGGCAAGACAATCACCGAGATTCAAGAACAGAGGAACAGATGGGCAGAACACTTTGAGGGACTCTTGAAAAAACCAGACCCACTAGACCCACAACACATCAAAGCAGCATACATAGACCTCCCTATAGATATCACTCCATCAACGATCTCAGAAATCAAGATAGCCATCAGGCAAATCAAGAATGGTAAAGCGTCAGGACGTGACAACATACCAGCTGAAGCATGGAATTCAGACAGAGAAGTAACTGCAAATATGCTCCACACTAGTCAGGAAGATTTGGGAGGAAGAACAAGTGCCGATGGACTAGAAGGGACACCTCATCAAGATACAAGTGAAAGGAGATCATACATCGGACTAAAGTGCAAAAAGATGCATAGAGGACAGCTGATAGATGCATTCCAACTGAAAACCGGTGTCAGACAAGGCTGCTTACTCTCTCCCTTTCTCTTTCTTCTAATGCTCGACTGGATTATGAAGAGAAAACACGGAATACAATGGACAGCCTGCATGCAACCAGACGATTTTGACTATGAGGTTGACCGAACCCTTCTGTCCCATACACACAAACAAACACAGGTGAAAGCAGTCAGTGTAGCAGAAGCCCACATACACAAGGGAAAAAGCAAGATCCTGAAATACAACACGGAGAACACCAACCCAATCATACTTGATGGAGAAACGCTGGAAGAGATAGAAACTTTCACATATCTGGGCAGCGTCATCGACGAACTAGGAGGATCTGATGCAGACGTAAATGTGAAGATTAGCAAAGTAAGGACAGCATTCCTACAATTGAAGAACATATAAAACTCAAAACAACTGTCAACCAATATCATAGTCAGAATTATAAATATGAACGCCAAGACAGTTCTATCGTACAGAGCTGAAACGTGGAGAACTACTACAACCATCGTCAAAAAGATACATATATTTATAAACGATTGTCTACGTAAGATAGCCCAGATCCGTCGGCCGGATACCATCAACAATAGCCTACTATGGGAGAGAACAAACCAGCTTCCAGCTAAATAGAAGTTAGAAAAAGACGTTAGGAGTGGATAAGATATACATTACGGGAATCATGAAACTGCATCACGAGGCAAGCCCTAACTTGGAATCCTGAACAGAAAAGGGGAAGTGGAAGACCAAGGAACACGTTGCGTCGAGAATCGGAGGCAGACATCAAAAGAATAGCAGTCGGAAACAAATGGAAAGGATTTTCCAGGACAAAGTTCGATGGAGAATGCTGGTGGGTGACCTATGCCCTTCCACGAAGGGTAACAGTAAGTAATAACATTGGAAAACAGAACAACACATATGAGCGAGAAATACTGTTCATTTTCAGATCGTCATCAGGTTTACTTTGATATGCATGAATATGCATACGGAAGTATCAAACCTATTAAGCCAATGTATAGGTCAATGAATACTATGAAATAGATCGGATAACTGCACATAATAAGTCAAAAGTGTACTAGCAGTGATTTTGATAAATTTATGAAAGTTGTAGTCAACAGTTCGAAATAGGATAAATAGATAAAACAATAACCAAAAAACATATTATGTAGTGTGTAAATAATTAGATAGTGAAGAATATAAACAGGAGGGCGAATAATAACAAACAAGGAGTGAGGAAAAATGAATGAAATCACTTACTAAGTCATATCCGGCCAAGGAAACGACTGGGAAGGCGTGAATTTCTCCTGAGAACATGGGGTTATGGGTTCACCATAACTTCTGCTGTATATCTGCGTTGAAATGCCAATGAAATTCAGTTTACTGTCACACTTGTCAGTAAAACCGATTGCCAGGTATACATTGTTAGACTGATTCAATGGTCATTCTCTAATAATATTCTGGCCTACTAAAATGAATATGCCATAGATGTGACGGCAGTATACAACTGGTTTGTCAGTAGCCTCATTGCGGGGTCCGTTCCTTAGTTTTGCTAGGAAATTAGTCGGAATCGGACCTCAAGGTGAATCAGTCAGTCAGCTGCAAGGTAGGACTAGGTACGTATATGCATCGGTCCAAGTTGCCATACCGCATTAGCACAACAAGATGAACACCGGATTCATAGGAGTAGTTAATTCAGTGGTGGTAATATATAGAAGAAAGAGTGTGTATAAGGAGATAGTACAGGAAGATAGAATTAATTCCTAGAAAGAAAGATTTGAAGTGATTTTAATCTCTTAGTTTAAAGGAAGACAGAGAGTGTATACACCGACGCCATTGTGATCGATTCTGAGCCATGTCACCAAGAGTCTCCAACCATTGGTTACGATAGTCACGCGGACCCCAACCAGGCAGTCTGAATCTTCCAACATGGCTCAGACCAGAAGTTAGTGACTTCAAGCACTGATGCCACGTTTTGGTTTGGCCGCCCCTAACTTTCTTCCAATCATCCCTAACACTGGTTAGCATTGCGCATCGTGGTAATCGGTGTTCAGGCATACGCAGCATGTGGCCGAACTATCTCAGTCGATGAAGATTCATAACCTCATCAACTGATTTACCATCATTCCCTAATACCCTGCGTCTAACCTCACTATTACTTACCCGATGATCCCAGCAGATACCCGCAATATTTCCAAGGCACCTGTGGTCAAATACTAGTAACTTACGAATATCTTCTACTCTCAAAGGCCATGTTTCGCAGCCGTATAGTAGAACGGGACGAACTGCCGCGCAGTATACTCGTCCCTTAATTGATAGACGGATATCTCGCCTGCGCCATAGACGACGTAAGTTGGCAAAGGCCAAGCGATCTTCTCGAATCCGTGCTGAGATTTCGTCAGACACCAACCCATTAGGGCTGATCAGACTTCCAAGATAAGTGAAGTTGTCGACGCGTTCGACTACTTCACTCCCTATCCTTAGTTCAGGTGTTGACGCAGATCAGTCCTGAAGCAACAACTTGCATTTGGAGGGAGAGAAGTGCATCCCAAACATTCTCGCATTATTGCTCAGTGCTACCAAAAGACTCTGCATTTCATCAGCGTCTTCACCAAACAGGAACATGTCATCTGCGTATTCTAAGTCAATAAGTGGACCTCCTGGTAGATCAATACCTGAGAATTCAGTCGATGAGAGCGTTATTTCCATCAGTAGATCTATGATAGAGTTAAACAAAAAAGGAGAAAGTGGACAGCCTTGACGGACCCCACTTGAGGTTGCAAAAGCGGATGACAGTTCGCCGTAGGCTCTGACTCGACTAGTAGTGTTCGAGTAAAGAGCCTTCACAAGGTTTATGTACTTCTGAGGTACGCCTTTCAATGACAGACACTGCCACAGAACCTCTCGGTCAACAGAGTCACGCTGCTTTTAAGTCAAGGAAGACCACCATTGTCGGACGCCGATAAGTATGCCTGTGTTCTAGAACCTGACGAATGGTGAATATGTGGTCGATGCAGCCACGACCAGGTCTGAAGCTAGCTTGGTTCTCTCGTGTTTGCAGTTCACGAGTCTTAGTTAGGCGTCCGATAATTATTGAGGCTAGTATTTTAGATACTGTATTAGCTAAACTAATCCCTCTATGGTTGTCACAGGATGATTTTGACCCTTTCTTATATATTGGGACGATAAGTGATTGTGACCAGTCAGAGGGGATTATGTCCAACTCCCAGATTTTAACTAAAATATTAGTCAACCTATTCGCTAAAACTAGACCACCATCCTTAAAGACCTCTGGGGCCAATCCATCTGGACCAGATGCCCTTCCTCGTTTCAGATTAACTATAGCCTTTTGAACTTCAGTTAGAGTAGGGGGACCTACTTCAATGTTCCATTCACACTATCTGGGAATAGAGGGTAGTTGTAGAGTAGCTGAAGGCCAGCTAAACTGCTCCTTAAAGTGTTCCGCCCATCGTTCTAAACGTCTGGACTGGGAGCAGATGAGAGTGTCGTCTTTTTCCGAAATAGTCTGACTTACACTTGATTTATTAATTCCAGTTTCTTTTATTAGTCGGTAGAGTTGTCTTGTGTTCTCTATAGCCGCCGCCTTTCCCATCTCTTTTGCTTTCGTTGCCCACCACTGCTCACGATCATTCTTTAGACTTTTGCTTAATCTAGATCTGATTTCTTTACGCTCTTCATCGTATTCAGAACCTGATGGGATGAGTTTGCGAGAATCTATCAGTGCAATAGACCTTGACGAAATCCATTGGTTCTTTGTAACCCTGTGGTTTAAATCACTGGTAGATGTCACTGCTGTTTCCACAGCTGCTTGTATAACTTTCCAAGCAACATCTGGGTCAGTCTCGTTTTCAGAACCACCTAAGTGTGACCTCAGTTGATCCTGGAACCTACTTTTGGCTTTCTCATTACTCAATTCGGTTCTAATTAGTCTTTTTTGTGTGGCACTTTTGCGTCCAGTGAGGCGCAAGCAGATGAGTGCTCGTACTAGGGCATGATCAGAGTCCAAGCAGGTACCCCAAAATGAACGACAATCTTCTATTGACCCTCTCCAACGATGACTGATGGCAATATGGTCTATTTGAGTCCATCGTTGGTTTGGTAGCAACAACGGTCAGGACCTCAAGGTGAGACTATAGCTATTCCACCAATCTGTATATTGCTGAAGACAAAACAGACATTCATAGTACACTTTAAGAGGAATTCTTGAAGACTATCATCATCAAAATTAATGATCTGTTTTTACTCATAATTGTTGACGCATGAACCCGGTTGTCTTGACCAATGGTACATTGGTGAATAAAAATGACATTTATATCTCTAAAATATAACTTCTCTTACTTTTTCAGAAAAGAAAGTTATCCGCCCAAAAAAAATCGAAGTGCCAACCGAAAAACAACCGGTTAAAGAAAACAAACAGCCAGTCAGTGTCACACAGTCACAACCAATTACTGAGACACAAGCGTCTACAAAAGAAGCGGAACCACAAACACCGAAAGCGGTTGCAGAACCACAGACACTAGAAACTGAGAAACAGCAAACGCCGAAAGAAGCAGCTAAGCCAAAGACACCAAAAACCGAGAAACCAGAGATACCAAGAGAAACTGTAAAACCACAGACACCAGAAACTAAAGAACCACAAACGCTGAAGGAAGCCACAAATTTACAGACACTAGATGAAATACCACAAACAGCGAAAGAAGTGGCTAAGCCACAAACACCAAAACTCGAGGAAATAAAAACACCAACCCCACAGATACCAGAAGAAACCGTGGAACTACACACACCAGTAGAAACTCCTATAACTCCCACTAGTCACACTTTAGCAGAGTCAACTGTAGAAACAAAGTCGACCGGGAAGCTTATACCACAACCGCTGAGTGAAGAACTGAAGTTGGCCATCGATGAATCCGAACCCCCACAACCCGCAACATTCTCAGTAAATGACAAAATACCGGAGGTGAGCGAGGATCTACGCAGTCCCGCCGTCCAGTCCCCGCCAATTAGTGAAGCAAGGTTATCTGTAGATAACAAGATGCCCCGACTACTTGACTCACAAACTTCGAAGGACGATCTCACACCCAAACCATCTACAGAATTACCGGAGACGGGGCAAGTATAAGTAACCCCGTGGTGCGCATGTCCAACTGGCTTACTAAATCTGATGGTTGCTGATTGGATTATTCTCAAGTATTTAGTGAAAGAGAACTGTGCTTCTTTTGGCGCATTCCGTTCTCAATTTTCTTTTTAAGCTTAACCCCGGGTGATGGATAGTATTTTCGTTTATTATTTAATTCAGAAAACTTTAACTTTCGGCATAATGAGAATGGATCATGACTTTCGTGTAATGTTTCCGATATTTCGATATAATGATCAAACAAATCAGCAAGCCAGATATATTTTGAGATTTTTCAACAGTATAATCACTTACCGTTACTTAACAGATACGCTACACCACTTTAAAACTGTCCCGTACTGGATCTGTAGTTTGATATCAAGCATCCCCAAGCCAAACAAAGCAGAGACCAGGAAAAGCACCTTTCATTGAGAGTATGGGGTAACAAAACTAGGACAGCACTTCAGTGCTGAAATTTACAGATATTAAGTCTTCATAAAAGATGATCTAATCCGTATGTAAGTTATCGAAGTTGAGTGATCCACCTTGTACAGAAAAACCAGGAAGTAACTAGTCTCTAGCCTGCTATTGACGATGAAACATTAGAATTTGGACGTAAACATCAGGCTGCAGCTGATGCAGAACTCCGGTCGTTGCCATCAGTTAAATTTTGTAAACCATGGAATTAAAGTACGATTATGGACTAGGTTGTGTGGCGCTTTTGACCAAAAAACACACTTGACTGGTATCCATGATCCTCAAATGTCTATTAAAACTAGTAGGACAGATAAATTAGCAGAACTTACGCTTCTTCAGGCAGCATGACCGAATTCGTGTATTCCCCTAACCAATTTGCATATGGCAATAGAAGCACGTTTTGCAGGTTTAAATCCTTATAATTTGCATTATTTGTTTGCACTGCTCTGGTGTACGGTTTGTGTAATGAAAGGGAATCACATTTGGACTTTTGGTAACCCTTGAGAAAAACTTGAATAAGTCATACACTTCAACTTCGAAATCAACGCTGGTGTAAATTAAGCAAAAAGAACATTTTGTGAAATAGTTTTATTCTAAATGCATGCATGACAATGGTAAAAATAGTTGTCTACTAAATATTTATGAATGCTGTTACATATGATCCAACTCCCCTCAACTACGCAATGCACAACCCGTACATCTAAAAAAAATGAAATAGATGTAGGATTGAGGCAATAATATTTGACACAAAACATATAACAGCTTTAGTTAAATGTAATATTAATTGGCCATTACATATATTACCTGATACTGGCTACCAAGTGTTGAACACCGAAAACTAGCAACCCCATAATCATTGGGAATCCACCGGCCATGGAGATAGCACCTTTATGACGCTTTGCTGGGTCTTCCAAAGTAAAAAAGAAATAAGTACATATATACCTTTCAATAAGTTGACGAATAATAAGCATATCATACCACCAACTTGTGTAACATGAAAGAAGTACACAGGAGAATACTATTAACCAAGCTGCTCATCGTTTATATTATGATTGACTAAAATAACCGTTCTGATCCTCACTACAATATTTTTGTTACCAAGGAGACTTGTTTTGAGAGTTAAAACTCAAACCCTACCTTTGATTCTTATCAGCCTTGATTAACTTCAACTGGTCATGCGTTGCAACAACTAGAAGCTTGTGTTTAGATCAAATCCCTATTCAGAACGAGCAAGTTTATGGTGAATAAATTAACCGAAATGATGTCTACCGGTTGTTTTGTGGATAATCCCACTCATGAAAGAATATTAAGTAGTTTGGAAAGCAGAGGACTTTGGATACAAACATTTACGACTAGGGTTCAGGTTCACAATGGAGTTTACGATTCAGGGCTAGAGTGAAAGTTCCGGATTATGGGACACATGCTAAGCGTAAGGCCCGTGTGGCGCATATAAATTTGGTGCCCCTTGTACCAGTATTTGTGTTCGAATAATCATGACCGTGAATTCGAGGTCATAATTTCGACCCCAACCGTAAACTGTGCAACCTAATCCTAATACTAGAGTTTAAATACTATATTAGGATTAAAAGCCATACATTTATGCATATTGTTTTTAAGTGGTTAAATGGAGTTCAAGAAGTTTCAGTGTTACGCAACAAGTCGCTCGAGTTCGTCATAAGAATTGAAATTAATCCGATAAACCCGCGGGACCTAGAACAGACATAAAATATGTATATACCGTCTTACATCACACTAAACAGTAATCCGACAATTTCGCCATATCCCGAATCTGGGGTTCTACCCAGATTTCAGTGATAATTGGCAGTTTCTGTGCCGTTCCCCCAAAATAGGGAGACTGGGTTACTGATCGATATACAAGATTTAAGGCGCACAAACTCTCAAGCGGAGAATCGCTTACCTCCGGTTGCGTATCCCTGGAAATATAGTAGGCGACCAAGAAGAAATACTACACCACATGCAGTATAAGTTCGCTAAGTTTTAAATTATGAGAGAAATGACGACATACCGGATATCGCAAACCACCCGCAAACAACGCCATGAGGAAAAAGGGGAGAACTTCTAGACTGGAAAAGCAACATAAAACAATGTTTGACATACTAATTTTGATGACCCCTTTGGATGCAGTTGAATAATTTGTTTGTAGGGTGGTACATAATAGGCAACTCAACATTGTGTTCTTTGCGAGCTTGCACAACTCGGCGGGCGAAGTAAATGTTTAACCCGAATGCGCTCACACCCACTAGAATCACACCGCCATAATAACGGGGTAAGCACAATGGGAGAGAAGTCAAGGGAGGGGAGATATACTTCGACAGCGACATCCTCACGAGAAACTTTGCGCCGCCAGATGTCAGTACTTTCAATGTCCAATATATGCTTAATGTTCAAGACTATACTAAGTAACCACTTTACACTTTTGATACAGTGTTAAGAAGCAATTCCCTGCATTTAAAAACATATGGTGAAGGGTTATGGCTATCAGTTAAAGCATAAATCAGGAAATGTTGTAGTATGTGAAAGAAAGTGAAAGTTAATGCTTTCAGTAAAACGTTCAAATGGTTCTCCCTGGAATAATAAAAAGATTTGTTGAACGAGCTACCATATCTATCAACAGTGGATCACTGATGCCTCTAGGTAGGTGCCTAGGTATATTAAACATTAAAAATATATTGGTAAATTATGGTTAGATATTGTTCAAATGGTTCAAATGGTTAGAGCCGACAAGCAGAAATACGTTGAAGAACTCGTCAAAAAGCTGCAAGAGAAGGAAATATGAAACAGTTTTGCGATACAACAAAGAAACTAGCACGGAAATACAGTAAACCAGAGAGACTGGTCAAAGACAAAGAAGGCAGGTCAATCAAACGGTTCAAATGGTTATGGACGGAATAGAAGAGGCTTTCGCTTAACAGGCTCCCGTGTCTAGTAGCAGAGGATCACCAATACCTCCAGGCAAGAACCTAGGTATATTAACGATAAAAGAGAAAAAAATAATGAATTGGTAAATCATAGTAAGATACTATCCTTAGTCCTTAAGAATATATCAAGTCGCCTCTTAAAGAACTCCTGGGAAGTTGCTTGGACTAGCTTAGTCGGCAGCGAATTCCAGCATTTGACAACTCTTAAGGAGTAGAAGTTGTGTCTGCAGTCCGTTCTACTATGTTGTATCTCTAATTTCTGGGTGTTACCCCTTAGGTTAGTGTTGGGACTAAGCTTAAGTTGGTGTTTAAGAGGATGTCCAGAAGTGTTAAAGATACTGTAAGCCATTAGATCACCTCTAAAACGCCTATACTCTAATGGATAAAGATCAAGTGACTGGAGGTGCTCATCGTAAGGTTTAAATTTGTGTCCCCGAACTGATTTCGTGGCTCGCCGTTGGATACGCTCCAGAGTGTCCTTATCCTTTTGGAGTGTAGGAGGGGATAGTATGTTTCCGTACTCTAAATGGGGACGAATGAAACTATTGAAGATTATGTGGAAAGTTCTCCCGTAAAACTGACCGAAAATGCGCTTCAATGTTACCAGTGCAAGGTTTGTGCGAAAGGCATTTCTGTCATAGTTGGCGTAAGACTTTAGGTCGTAGGGCACCAGAACTCCTAAATCGACTCGGGATACCACTAGAGAGGAGTTTCCTAAGTTGTAACTGTAATCTGCGACGTGTCGCAGATGGACTACTTTACATTTTGAAGTGTTAAAGGTAAGTCCGTCGTCATGAGTCCTTAAAAATGTGTCAATTTTTCTCTTGAAGGACTCCTGGGGAGTCGCTGAGACTACCTCAGACGGCAGTGAATTCCAGAAGTTGACTACTCGTATGGAGTAAAATGTAGGACCATTGTCAATTCTGCTATGTTGTGTCTCTGATTTCTGGGTGTTAACTTTAAAGTTCGTGTTTTGGCACTATGCTTAAGTAGATATTAAAGAGGATGCTTAGGAGTGTTTAAGATGCTATAGTCACTACATTTCTATGCTCTAAATGCGGTTAAATAAAAACTATGAAGATTGAATAGAAAGTTCCAAACTGGCCAGAAACGCACTTCAACGTTACCAGCTCAATGTTTGCTCAAAAGTCACGTTTGTCGCAGTTAACTTCAGACATGGATTATAGGGGACTAAGACTCCCATCTTAGGATGCCTCTGAAATGGAGTTAATTTAGTTGCATGAGTGGTCTGCAACGTGTCTCAGATGGACTACCATACACTCTGAAGCGTTGGGAGTAATTTCGTTGGTATTTGCCCAACTATGAAGTTAGTGCCAGCTCATCATCTTGGTTGAACACTCCTCTCCAAGTCGCACGTCATCACTGAAAAGCGATAAATCAGAAGACACTTGCTAAAGAAGGTCGCTTATAAATTTAAAAGAGAATAGGTCTCAGTACTGAACCATGGGAGACCCCACTAGTACATTCCGTGACCTAGGAAAAAGTGAACTTAACACTTACCCCAAAAGATATGAAGTAAATGCATCAATCAACGGTGATGTGATGCCGAACCGTTTGAGCTTATTGATAAGACATACATATGGCTAACTTTATAGAAAGTTTTTGAGAAGTCAGGGATGCTTTTCCATCTGTCCACCGCGGTCAGCAGATTGATCGTACAAGAGTGACCATTCCCAAGACCGTTCTGTTGAAGTGAGTGTAAGTTTACGAATAATAACCAGCCACAATGACCGTCGTATATCAGGAATTCTGTAAGTTTTGAGACTATTGGTAGAAGTGCTGCCTCTCGGTAGTTTGAAGTTTCTCTGCGTCAGCCTCCTTTAAAAAGTGGTGTAATATGAGCCAGCTTCCAATTTTCGGACATCGTGCTTCGGCTTACTGAATATGAAAACACCACACTAAGTGGTTTCTTCAGGATTGAAGCCGCTTCTCTCTGCCATATCCGGGTCAGGAGAGATATCCTTGTTTAGGCGCTTTAGTTTCTGATACACCAAGTCAGTGCTCAGGATCACTTCTGAGAGACTTGTGTAGTTGCAAGAGAAGCTTTTATCAACACAATTTGTATGAGACGGTTGAAATGTTTAAGAAACGCCGTTCCACTAAAAGGTTGGTGGAGTTGCTGTCGTTGTTGGAGGGACTATTAAGACCTAACAACTGGGGAACTTAGGTTCTCACTGGTCGAAGAAAGGCCACATGACGGAATAAACTTTTCAGATTGGAGACAAATATATTGGTTAACTTTATCTGATAATGAAGCTTATCTTCTTTTATTGCTTTTGTGCATTAGTTCCTTGCTAGTTTGAACTGCATATATTTGTTGTTCTCATTAGTTCGTTTATATTCCTACCAGGAGTCCTTTTTGTGTCTTAGCATTCGAAATGTGAAATGTTTTATGACTGCACGTTGCCTGTAATTTTTGTGGACCGTTTTGGAGACACAATATTTTGTAGCACACATGATCGTGTGCAGTAAGTGAACATCAAGTTGAGGGTAGTCTTACCCGTCCACCTGCTGTAGGTTCTTCTGTATAGCTAACACTTCAAATGTTTGCGATTCCAACGCTTGTCGTTAGTAGGATGTTTCAACCTAGCCTTGTCAATAAAATTGAAAGCTATGGCAGCGTGATCACTTTTTCTCAGAGGAGCCAAGATTATTATGTTGCCAATTAGGAATTATTTGCTTGCAAATATACAGTCCAAGAGTACAGCGTCTGATTGTTTCGCCACCTACTTGTTAATCACAGTTTTTCGAATGTTCAACCGAGCTGCAATAGTGATATCACCTTCAATGTACGTGTGTTCAGCGAAATTAACTTTGATAAGAATGAAGTCTCCAAGAATCGGAATATGAGTGTATCCAAGTGGGATAATCCCTCCAGCATACGATTGTCGTACCCAGTGTCCGCAGTGAACTTCCTGTAGATGACTCCGACTAGACACCTCGAGGTGTTAGGCAACCTTACTGAACACCATACAGATTTATCAAGATTGATCAACTCTGGAGTGTACATCTAATGTGATACCAAGCAAGATCCTAGGCAAAGGGCTACTCTGCTACCAATCCCTGTTTTTCTGTCGTTACGAAACAAAGGCAACCGAGTATCGCTGGCTCCTGATCCGTAAATTGGTATTTCCATGTTTCAAATGGGTGTTATTGGCGTTACTTAGTTCACACAACTCATCCATTTTGTTCAGTATACCCGCAGAGTTCGTTTTTAGGCAGTTAATACTACTGATTTGAAACGCTTGAGCCTCTTCGTCCTGTTTGTGCGAGTGAGCTTTATGAGAATGGACGGGCAACCTAGCCACATAGGGTTTCCCTTCTGCATTGTTCCTTGATCTTAACTGTCCAAAAGTAAAATAGTCAGTTCCAATTTGCTTCTGTGTTCGATCCTTGTACCATATGTCCGTCCGGATGCATGTAGGTTTCAGCCGATCCATTAACTAATTTTCTTACAAAATCTCGGCTATTCAGTAATTTCGACGGTGATCTTCGATTCCCCTTAACACTATCGATAGGATCAGGGTCACCTACAGTAGACGTTTTACAGACCACAGTCGCATTGGAAGAGTCTGTACTGGAGGATACAATTTTACTGAAAAAGTCTGACATCGTCGATGTTATGGCGGTGCTGAGTTTTAGCATACCTTCCCAAGTGTCGATGAGTGTTCCATAAGTATTAATGTCATCGACGACCCTCTACCTTATCGCACTGAGCGCCGTTTTTAGGGCTGCTGATAACTTTTCACATACCTGTCAAAGAATGATAATACGGTTCAGCAAAACGTCAACATTCATGCGGGGTGTGTCACATGACTAATTGTGACCTAATTTAACTAGTCTGTTCCAAGCACGTACTGTAAGTTCTGTGCATGGTTCGTGCGACCAAGCTTTGCATTTGTCACACTGCATACCACAGGTAACAGAAAACCAGTATTCACGTCGCTTGTACGTGTGTCCTAATGATCATGGTGCAGTATAAGTTGCTAAGTAAATATTAATACAAGTTCACAACCGTGAAAATGGCAATACAATCAAAACTGATAAAAGGGATAAAAACGGATAGTATTAAAGTTTCAGATATAATGAGACTAACATCTATGAGAAAGACCATAAAAACCATGCAAAAATCCGAAACAAAACCACAGTTAGTTATTAACTTGGATAAGACTTAAAAGGAAAAGTAATCTACCGAATGTTAAAAGTAGGACAGATTCTTTAGATCAAAGATGGTACTTCTGTTGCTCAAGGACACGTAAAAAGTTTGAAAAATATCCATGTGGTGGACATGAAGCCAAGAATGCATGAACGATGAGAGAACCTAATTTTAAGATCGTGTACTAATTAAGCCATTACAATATGATATGATGTGGTGTTCAGGTGTGTACAAACTCGTTCCTAAATATAAAGCCACCTCCTGTATGACCACTTTCCCAGCCTTAATCCCTATATGCTACAAACTCTTAC